TGAAGTGTGTGGAGGTTGAGGAGGCTAAGTTTAGTGATTGCTTTGTTGGTTGTGCTTAATGGGATTTCCCATTCTGAAAAAGGTGACACAGAGATTGTTAATTCTATGTTAGAGCCCACATTCCAAGTTCACATGTATGAAGTAACATGGATGAGGTGTATGAAGTTCACATGAAAGAAGTCACGTGTTGGACACTAGCTGATTCTCATGGAACGATATCCCAGGCATGAGTCAGTGTCTTCAGGAAAGTAAGAGAGAAAATTGATAAGGAGCTTGATCAAATGAAAGGATGATTATTATTAAAAGTTATTAAATTGGAGTGGGGGAATGGGAAGCCTTATTTCATTTTCCAATGGTCTCCAATGGGTATGTGGTTTGCATGGTTTGATATTGAGTCTGCAGACAAAGAAGGCTTCAGGTTAATTCACTGGTCTGTGCAAAATGAAGTCATCTCAGTCAGTGATAGATAGGGTCAATACAACAGCTTCGAGAGATCCTGGCTTAATTGGTAGCATCCTCACCTCTGAGTCAGAAAAATTAAGGGTTTCTATTTACAATAAAGAAACTGGCGTTCATGCATTTATTGATTCAAGAACATTCTTTCATCTATTCGAACTGACCCTACTTTCAAAAGTTGCGAATTGTTTTGTTGTTTAACTCTATTTTGGTCATTTTTGGAATCAACTGAGCATACTGTGAATTTAAACATAGCTCTGACCTCCACAGGAATATATTTTGTGGATGATTTAATATGCATGTTATAAAAATACATCCATGTTCACGCAAGTGCGTATACAGTTTTTCCATTTCTAATATATAGTATGAAGTAGATTTCAATAAATATATCATACATAAATTTCTACTTCACAATACTATCAAATTAATGTAAAAAAAAGTGATACATGGAATCCTGCAGCTTATTAGTTGGAGCACTTGTCTTAGGACATGGGTTTGATTCCCAGGCAGGGGGAAACCTTAGGCAAGTTTCTTTACTCCACATGCCCCTGTTTACCTAGGAGTAAGTAAAAACCTGATTGCTGGATTTCTTTTCTGGGTTAATAATCCCTTCAAAAAATATTAATTTGGTTACTCAATACACAACAGTTTGTGGAATACTGATATGCGTAATTGGCTTGCTGGGTTTCTCCCACAAAATATGAAGTAAATTCACTTTACAGTATATTCTGTGAAGTGCTTTGAGACATCTCAATTATGTGATAAAGTGCTTTATTAAATGCAAGGATTATTATAGGATGCCCTGATGCAATATTATGGCAGTGCACTTAAAGGCTTGTAGTAAAGATGTTTTTCCTGTAGATGGTGCTGTGCTCCACCAATCAAATGAGCAGTGTCCACCCAAGATTTATCTGACTAGAAACAATTTAGACAATCTACAATAATTTGTAGTTATATTGTGTCTTTCATACAGGGAGAAAGCCTCAACATTCGTGCAAAGGCTGATTGGATGGAATGTCAGAACAATTTCAGACAATATGGGCAAAGTGGCTGAAAGTCCTCCCGACGTGAAAGGTACTATACAAATGTAATTTTGTTGTAGTTGTAATGATGGGGGCAGAATGGGAGAGGGCATGAAGGAGGACATGGTGAGCAAAGCAGAAACGGCCAAAAGAGTTGAATCACAGGAGATCGCAGAGATAGGTTGGGGTAAGGATCTTAATGTCAATTCTAGTGAAGAGAGGAAGTGAAGGGAGCCAGTGGAGTTGGGAAGGGATGGAGTTGATGGACTTGTGGAGCTTATTGTGGAAGAGAATGTGAGTTGCAGAGTGCTGGATGATATGAAGGGTGGAGCTGAGTAGGTTGGAGAACTGAGGGTCTAATACTGATATTCCACCCAGTTGGAATAAACAGTTGGGGAGGTCGATATTGTTAGCATCTGATATGAGGATGTGCTGGTAGGAGCTGAGCAGGATTGCCTCAGTTTTGTCCACACAGAATTGGGGAAAGTTACATGCAAGACAATGTCTGACAGGCAGTCAGTCAGACAAAAGGCTTTTTTTTATTTCTTTAAAATATTTGCCTGTTTGTCTTAAATTTGCATGGAAACTCATTGTGCTTAAGAATGTGTTTTTTGCGAGTGTGAGAGTACAGAAACAAGGGGATGAAAAACTAGGTGTTTGAGCAGACAGGAGCAGTTGCACCTTGGAGGGACTTCTACAACAACAACAAAATTACATTTCTACGGCGCCTTTCACATCGGAAGGACATCCCAAGGCGCCGGACAGTCAGTGTTTCAGACGCAAACTGGGGATCAGGATCGGGGAGGGTGGAGGGCAGGGGGGGAAGGAGGGTGATCGAAAGCACGGTCGAAGAGGAGGGTCTTGAGATGGGTCTTGAAGGAGGCAAGGAAGAGGGCGAGGTGGAGGGGCTGTGGGATGGAGTTCCAGAGGGAACAATTGGGGAGTGAATTTGCCAAAGGTGGGGCAGGCAAGGCGGGGAACGTGAAGCAGGCCAGAGCCCACTGAGTGAAGGGAGCAGGCAGGATGGTAAAGGGTTAGGAGGTCAGAGGTAGGGGGTGCAAGGCAATGAGGGCTTTGAAGATGAGGACCAGGATCTTGAAATGTATCCGGTGTAATGGGAAGCCAGTGGAGTCAGGCGAGGATGGAGGCGATAGGTCACGGAGCCTGATATGAGAGACGATATGGGTTGCAGAGTTCTGGATGATCTACAGGCTACGTAGGGAGGAGTTGGGGAGGCCAACAAGCAAGGAGTTTGCATAGTCAAGGTTATGAATGCATGTATGAGGGTTTCAGCAGCCTGCCGTATGACACAGGGGCAATGTTGCGGAGGTGGGGGAAGGCAGAGCAGGTCATGGCACGGATATGGGGTAAAAAGGATAGTTGAGGGTCAAACAAGACCCCAAGGTTCCAGATAAGATGGAATGTGCATCCTTGGATGGTGATGCTGCCAGCGCCTGAGGTGTGGAGGTGCTGACGGGAGCCAATCAGGAGAGCCTCGGCCTTGTTGACGTTCAACTGAAGAAAGTTAGCTCTCATCCAGGACTTGATGTCTGACAGACATTCTGTCAGCACAGCAGTGGTCATGGAGTCAAGGGTGGAGGCAGAAGTAGAGTTGGGTGTCAGTCGCATATATGTGGAAGTTGACCCTATGTCTGCGGATGATGTCACCAAGAGGGAGCAAATACATATTGAAGAGGAGGGAACTAAGGAGAGAGCCCTGAGGCACGCCGGCAAGACAGTGCGGGGGCTAGAGGAGAAACCGTTTGTGGAGATGAAGTGGAGGCGTTGTGAGAGGTACGATCTGAACCAGTCAAGGACAGAACTGTGAAGGTTGAGGTGAGAGGAGAGGTGGTGGATGAGGATAGAGTGGTCAACGGTGTTGAAGGCAGCAGAGAGGTCAAGGAGGACCAGGAGGCAGAGGGAGCCCTGGTCACAGATGGGCAGGATATCATTTTTCACTTTGACCAGGGCTGTTTCTGTGCTGTGGATGGCACTGACACCTAATTGGAGAGATTCGTGAAGGGATTGGCAGGAGAGGAAGAAGCGAAGCTGGGAAGCACCGACTCATTCCACTACCTTGGAGAGGAAATGGAGGTTGGAGATGGGGTGGTAGTTTGAGAGCAGGAATGGGTCCAGGGAGGGTTTTTGAAGGATAGGAGTGATGACAGCCATTTTTAAAAGAGTGGAAACGGTACCAGTGGACAGGGAGAGGTATATGAAGTCTATGAGGAGAGGGGCAAGCAGGTGAAGCTGGGAGGTAAGGAGACGGATAGGGAAGGGGTCAATAATAATAATCCTTGCATTTGATATAGCGCTTTTCACGTCAGGAGGACGTCCCAAAGCGCTTCACAGAACACACTGTAAAGTGAATTGACTGTATATTTGTGGGCGAACGTGGCAGCCAAGGTCAAGGGAGCAACAAGAAATGGGTCAGCTTGCTCCCCTGCTCAAACCGTAAATGCCTCTATTTTATGTATTACGACTCGACTGGCTTTGAGGTGTCAGCAAATTATTATATGCTTGTAGCCAATAAATATTTAACATTTATTTTGAGTAGTGAATATTTAAATTTGTTAATATAAACAGGATACTGGTTTTGTCCTCCCTGGGGCATTGGGTATAAAATACCAAGCTCCGTTATAGGTGTGAGGGTGGCCGAAGGCACGATCGATGAGGAAGGTCTTGAGATGGACCTTGAAGGAGCCAAGGGAGGGGGCAAGTCGAGGGAATTCAGAAGGTAAGGCCAGAAAAGCTGAAGGCCCGACCGCCAATGGTGGGCCGGTCAGGTTGGGGGACATGGAGCAGACCAATACCCGCCAAGCGGAGGGAGTGGACAGGTTCGTATGGTGCTAATAGGTTGTGGAGGTAGAGAGGAGCAAGACCGTGGAGACTTTAAAAGTGAGGACAACGATTTTAAACACCTTGAACCCATTCCCACAAAGTTGCTGTCCATTCAGCTTCTTGCCCCCTGTTAACCACTCTCTTGACATGGTAACCCCTGCCCCCTATCAAAACTATTGTCAATATATCCCTTCTCAAAACAATTACATTGGACCCTGCAAACTAATGCAGTTATCACCCCATCTCCAACCTGCACTTGCTCTTCAAGGTGTTGGAACATGTTGTTACCTCCAACCTTGCTCCTCCTTCTCCCATCACTCCCTGTACTAAACCCATCAAATCTGGCTTCAGCCTCACTCTCGATGCCAAGACAGTCTGGTCATAGTTACTAAATGGTATTCTCTCCAATAATGCATATTTCACCTTCATTGTCTGAAACTCCTTACTCGTGGTTATGTGAAATGTAATTTCATTAAGGTTCGCAAAAATGTTCCAGCTCATAACATGTACCTTCAATGAATCATTTGACCAGAGGACACCACGTACTCCTTCCTATAACTTTGCCTGGTGTCAGTGGATAAATAGTCCATCAAGCATAGCTGATGGTCTCTTCCTTAACATGGCCCCAATGAGTCCATTTGCGGCTTTTAATTACAAACTCACAAGTTCAAATACACCAAATTATTGATGATTCATCAATTATTCTTTATTTCTTCAAAATTACCCAATTGCAGAAACAAAGTAGAATTAAACTTGTCTTAAATTCCTTAAACATTTATTTTGTAAAATCTTACTGAAAAAAACTCCTTAAAAGAATGAAGTTACATTTAACCAGAAACATACGCACACTTTTTCTGTTTCATTTACAATTATATGGGAATAGATTGAGCCCAGATTGGTGAATAAGCTAATTTTATAGCAACTATATTTATGCCATTCTCGCATTGAGGCAGAAGTTTGTGGATTCAAGGCCACATTTCTGACAATACATAATACTCATATAAGTCATATTAGTTGGGACCATACATTTAATTATGGAATCCTTTATCTTAGTGGTTAGAGCACTCGCCTAGCAAGTGAGACGACCTGGGTTTGATTCCCGGACAGGAGAAGCATTGAGCAAGTTTCCTTACTCCACACGTCTCTGTTTACTTAGCAGTAAATAGGAACTTGTTTGATAGTCGATAGGCAGACCGCTTTTCCTGGGATAATAATGCCTTCATAAAAAATAAATAATAATTTGATCACTCAATCCACGAGTGTTTGTGGAACGCTGAATGTTGTGCGTAATTGGCTGCCATGTTTCACCCACAAAATATAGTCAATTCACTTTACAGTATATTCTGTGAAACACTTTGAGATATTTTAACAATGTGAAAAGGCTCTATATTAAATGCAAGGATTATTATTATTAATATGACTTTTGCAAAGAATGCGATATGTGAAACTTGCATAAGTCATGTCATACATGAATTATGTAAAGTTATGTACAAGTTGGATTTTATATGACTAACACATAACAAATACACAAGCACTGGACTGGCTGGTGATATTAAGGCAAGGTTTCTGTACCATGTTTAACCCATGCATGTTAAAGCTATGGTAGTCCATTCTTTCCCTATACAGTATTACACAGTACTGTGTAGAAGACATGTACTGTAGAATGAATGGCACAACCAAACCGGTTTCAAAACAGAACTATTTTCATAGAATATAAATTCTTACACAGAACTACAGAGTTAATATTGTAACTGAATTATTAATCCCTTTTTAAAGAAAATGTTAAGTCAGACATAAACTCTCAATTCGCTCTGCCTGATTTCTCCAGTCGAAGTCTGTGGCTTCAAATCAGGCTCGGAGGCAATGTCCTTCTTTTTCATTTCAGGATTTACCTTGCAAAATTGGTTAATCTGGTACTTCTTATCACTGATTCTCCTCGTCACTAACTTGTATTGAGTTGGGGTATCCTCATTGCCTGATGCCATAACTCGTCTTCTGAACGTATTCACTGTTCTGTACTGTGCATGCGGTCCTTCGGCGTTGCAGCTGGTAATTGAGCATGACAGGTCCCCGCAATTGTCTCACATGGAGCGCTGCAAATGCTGCTTCAAGGCCGGTAAGTTTGTGAGTGTGAATCCACAAATTTCTGCTTCGGTGCAAGAATGCTACCAACTGAGCCAGGCTGTCACACAATTTTATTATTATGTAATTGTAAAACAAAACATTTACTTGATTTAACTGCCAGATTTGTATCTTAATTAGCTGCTTGCTCTAATCATCATCCTATAATAGATAAATTCAATAAAAATGGCATCCCAAGGTATGCTACTCAACTAAGTTATTGTGATTTTCCCCATAATCGTTTCTCCCAAATTATTGTGATTTTCACTGCACATTCTGGGCTAACATTACTCAAATAGCTCCTGTCCATCCTTTGGTGTGATTATAACTTTTGATGAAGATTTGTACAGGAAAAAAGCAGCAATAAGCATGATGATAGTGACCACTTTGGTAGATGCAACTGCGGAGACAAGAGACAGACTTAGATTCTGTGGAAAGCAATGTTCTGCTGAAGTTCAAGCTAAATTGTTCAGCCTTTCTGTTTAATGTCAAAAAAAATGCAAACAGACGGAGGGAAGAGGAAACAATAATGTACTCGAACAAATGTGAAATGCAAAATAGTGACTGATCCTGCTAAATCAGCACACGTCAAGAAGTCATCATGGATCAGTAAAAAAATCTGGAATGATCCTGGGTATGTGACTCACAACCCTTAACAGTCATGCATATCCCATTTCCTTCCTGGTTCATTTTCAGTAGTCTACTAACTTTATCGTCAATTTTATTTAGTGACATAAACTAATACTGCCCTCTTCATTAGCCTTCCCACCTCAACTCTCCTCAAGCTCCAGATCATCCAGAACTCCCCAGCTCACATTCTCCCCCATATCAGGCTCCTCAAGGTCATCCTTGCCAAGTTTAGCGGATTTCCTATTCCCCAACAGATTAATTTTTAAAATGTTTGTTCTAACTTTCAAATGCCTACACGCCCTTACCTCTGTGATCTCCTGAGGTATTTTCCAGCTCACAGATAGGCTCATGCCCCAGACCCCTCTTGCCCACCATTATTGGGTGAGCTTTCAGCCACTTTGCACCTAGTCTCTGGAACTCTCTTCTTAAATCCCTCCATCTCGCTCCCTTCATCTAAAAACCAACCTTGTTGACTGTGCCTTCGCCCACCTCCCTTCTTCCTTACCCATTAAGTGCTTTTTTTTTTAAAAAAAGGTATGACAAAATCATACCAGTCTTAACTAATGGCATAAAAGAATTGAACAAAAGCAATTCAACTTTTATGCAACAACCTTCAGACTTTTTCCAGGTTTCCCCTTCTCTTTTGTAGACTCATGCTGGATCTTGGTCAATGGGACATCCTTCCGATGTGAAAGTCACTATACAAATATGAACATATACATGCTCCCACTTGGTGACATAATTCACGGACATGGGGTCACCTTCCACATGTATGCGGATGACATCCATTTCTCTCTCTGCTCTACTCTCGACTCCAGGACCACTGCTGTCCTGACAGAAAGTCTGTCAGACATCAAATCCTGGATGAGAGTTAATTTTCTCCAGTTGAACGTCAACAAGACCGAGGCTCTCCTGATTGCTCGCGTCAGCGCATCCACACCTCAGGCACTGACAGCATCACTATCCATGGATGCACACACTACCTCAATGAGCCAGTCCGAAACTTTGGCTTCTTGTTTGACCCTCAACTGTCCTTTCTACCCCACATCCGTGCCATGATCCGCTCTGCCTTTCCCCACCTCTGCAATATCGCCCGACTCCACCACTGCCTCACCACTCAGGCTGCCGAAACCCTCATCCACGCATTTATTACATCCAGGCTTGACTACGCCAATTCCCTGCTTATTGACATTCCTAACTCTTCCCTCCACAAGCTGCAGATCATCCAGACCTCTGCAGCTCGTATCCTCTCCCGCACCAGGCTCCGTCACTCTATTACCCCCAACATTGCCTAGCTTCACTGGCTTTCTATTCCTGAGAGGATAGAATTCAAAATCCTTGTCCTCACCTTCAAGGTGCTCCACGGCCTTGCTTCTTCCTACCTCTATGATCTGCTAACCACATGTCAACCTGTCCACTCCCTCCGCTCGGCAAGCTCCAGCCTGCTTCATATCTCCCGTCTTGCCCGTTCCACCATGGGGGGTCGGGCCTTCAGCCTCTCTGTCCCCATCCTTTGAAACTATCTCACATTCCCTTTGCCTTGCTCCCTCCTTTACATCCTTCAAGGCACGTCTCAAGACCCTCCTCTTCGATTGCATCTTTGGCTACTCTGCTACCCTCCCTAACCTCCACCCTCCCTTACCCCAAAGCCCCCCTCTCAGGTCCAAATCCCTCACTGTCCAATGCCTTGGAACATCCTCCCGACATGAAAGGCATTATAGAAAATTGACTTCCAAATTTAAGGCTATTTTCTACAATTTCTCACAATCTTTAATTTTAAGATAATGGTCTTAGCTTAAACACATGAGAAATGTCACTGCCCAGGATCCTCCTACATTTTGTCCAAGTCGCCAATGTTTATGTGTAAGCGTTGGCAGGCTATTAGATATTGGGATCATCAGAGCAAGTTTGTCCTCTCCTCTATCGCAGAAAGACAGTAGGAGTTACTGCCAGGTGATCAGCTATAGGTGAGCATGCTTTTTCCCCCTCATTTTTCTCTTTCTTGTCTATGTAACCCAGTGAATTATTTTATTCATTGAGCCATGAGGAGTGCTATTCTCCTTATTAAGACTATCATTAGTTTGGATAAAAATAATAGTCCTTGCATTTGATATAGCGCCTTATCACATCGTTGAAACGTCTCAAAGCGCTTCACAGAAAATACTGTAAAGTGGATTGACTGAGTATTTTGTGGGCAAAATGCAGCATCCAATTGTGCAAAATTGATAAGAGTTAAACTTACTGATCGCTACCAGCAGGTGGACCATGCGTGCGTTGTTATATACCCAGCATGCGCCCTTAATCCCAGAATCGTCCTCATTCCAAAGGATACAAGATTTATCAATCACTGCACCAAAGAGAACTGGTCCTGGAATGGAGCCTACCAGCCAATAAATAACATGCATGTTAGAACAACAATGGGAAAGTTGTCAAGTCGCACTATACATTGACACAAAAATCAATTGTTTACCATTGCAATAATGCTTTGCCATCGAATTGAAACATCATACAGGGACAACCAGCCCAAAATGTTATTCTGAATTATTTAACAAGCTTTGCAGAAGGATAAAAGGAACACTATCCAAGCATTTTTTTCTGTATGTTTGTTGGTGTGGCAACCCGCAGAGCTTGTGCCAGCTGCAACAATAATGAATATCTCTCCCAATTGATCCTGATGGTTGGGGAGAGAACAAGGAAGGTTGGAAAATTTATACGGGGACCTGTGGTTTCAATGTTCAATCAGATATTGCGCCTGCGCACAATGTGCTAGTAACAACTGAATGAAAGAAGAGTAGCAGAGGGAGACCAATTTGATGGGTCAATAAAGCCCACAAGAGACAAAGAATAATTCAGCAGCGTATTCAATATTTAACACATAGACACACACACACAGCAGGAACCCCACCCCCACACAGGCACTGTTCTTCATAGTCAAGTCCATGTAACCAAGCCTTGCACTTCCAGTTCATGGCCTTTCTTGGTTTGAAGCACCTTAAGACCAAAGTTTGAATATTGGACAGTGCTCATCCACTACACTATCCAGGTCTTTAGAATCGACCCCACATCCTGATATCAATGCCATGCAAATGAGAGTTGTGCAGTTGCTTCTATGAACGCAAGATCACTCTGTGGCCTAGCAGATCCTCTCTTTGCAAATGAGACTTTAAGCAGTCTTTTTTTTAATCTATTTTGTATGAATTTCTTTAATAAAAAAACAAAGATGCCCCAAGTTGCTCCTCACCTAATAACCGTACAAAGACCCACTGAACACCCAATGAAAATGAGCGTTGGCTATCGGGCACACACCTGAAAGAAAAGCAAATTGTGGTCAAGATTTAGTCAACTTAGATAATACACTGGAATCCTGTTATGAGGTGATAGGTTTGATCCATAAAATCCCAACCAGCCCTAGTACATCACCAATCACTTATCTGGTGATGGGTGCTATAAGCAAAGCAACAGATTCTAAAGGGGCTAGACAATATAGATCATGACAGGCTATTTCAACTTGTCCAGAATAGTAAAACCAGAGCACACGATTGAAGGGGGATAAATTAAGAACAAATCTACCCAAACACTATTTTAGTGAGCGAATAGTGAACTGGTTGAACAGACTCCCTGGGGAAATGATTGAAGCAGGAAGTGTTGATTCTTTCAAACAGATTAGATCATTTTATTTCAGTAAATAACATTATGGGATATAGTACATAGGTTGCTTGGGACATATGTCATGTGACCGCCAGGAAGGTGGAATATGAACTAAACAGATCTTGGTCTTTATTGGTCTAGCATTTCTTATATTCTTATGTTATGTAACACTGTATTGGGAGGGGTTACCGGTACTGTTTAGCGCTTTGGCATTTCTTCTCGATGTGAAAGGTGCTATACAAATATACATTTATATTGTATTATATTATAACAAGATTGTCCTGTATAATGAATAATCCCCTTACAAACGCACATTTCCATAATTGCTAAATCATAACATCATAGAATTTTACAGAGCAGAGGGAAACCATTTGAGTCTGCATTGTCTCTCAGTACAACAACTTGCAGCCTTCATGCAGGGTAGCATATCGGAGTGCTTAAAATATTGGTCAGAACAAGCTGTCCATTTTTAAATATACACACATATATAGAGCAGCCATTTTGTCCGGCTTAATTGGCGTACAAGGTTAACCGAGGTTCCATTACCTCTTCCTGTCCAGCAGAGGAGCGGCGCCCCCCCCCCCCTCTCTAATTGTTATTCACATTGGACGGGAGGGGACTAATCAGCAGTGATTCCAAGGCAATTGACAGCTTGAAGCCCCTTGTGAATGGACGGCCACTCCAGCCATTCACAGGCTGTTCCAGGTGTCAATCAATCATGATTTGACTTCTCCTATTCCATCCCTTGTTTCTTCCCCATTACTCCGCCTCCTTACTGGTTGGCGGCCCAGAACCATTTGTGAAAGGCTGGAGTCCGTTGTCAATCAATCGCAATTTGATTCTCCCATCTGCATCCCAGAGCCACTTGAGGCTGAATGGCGCACTCAAGACACAGAGTGAGTCGATGGAGAGGTGACCAATGGGGTGTTCTGTCTGGATTAACCAGATTTTGTCCAAATTAACCGAATTTTAAAAGAGGCGACAATGCAAATGAATCGGGACCGGGCATTTTGTCCGATTTACCCGACGTCCAAGGTTAACTGGCATTCGGATTTAGCGGCTTCCATTGAATTTAATTCCCTTTCCTTATTGAGCAGCCAGGCAGAACAGATTCCAGCGGCAATCCATAACTAACTAATAGGTGGTGGACATAAAACAAGCTTGAATTACATTCACTTAATTACACCAGTCTCAAAAAGTTAGTTTGCAGGTGCAGCAAGCAACTAAGAAGGTGAACGGCATGTTAGCGCTCATTGCAAAAGGTTTAGAGTACAAGAGTAGGGAAGTCTTGCTGCAACTGTATAGGGCCTTGGTGAGACCGCATCTAGAGTATTTGGTCTCCTTATTTAAAAAAGGACATACTTGCCCTAGAGGGGGTGCAGCGTAGATTCACTAGGTTAGTTCCTGGGATGAGGGGACTGACCTATGAGGATAGGCTGAATAAACTAGGGCTATATTCTCTAGAGTACAGAAGAATTAGGGGGATCTTATTGAAATATATAAGATTCTTAAAGGGCTGGATAAAGTAGACACTGAGGGTCTGTTTCCCCTGGTAGGAGAATCTATAACCAGGGGTCACAGTCTTAAAATTAACGGTCAGCCTTTTAGAACAGAGTTGAGGAAACATTTCTACACTCAGAGGGTAGTGAATTTATGGAATTACACTCTTATGGAATTCTATTTATGGAATTCACTACCCCAGAAGGCTAGATGCTCAGTCCTTGAACATCTTCAAGACTGAGACTGATAGATTTTTTAAAAAATGGAGGGATTAGGGGATATGGGGATAGGGCAGGTAATTAGAGTTAGTTCTGAAGATCAGCCATGATCTTATCAAATGGCAGGGCAGGCTCGAGGGGCCGAATGGCCTACTCCTGCTCCTAATTCTTATGTTCTTAACTTATTGCAAATAGGGAGCTCCATTGGCTATCTGCCAAGAACAGGCTTAGTTAATTTGTTTCTTTATGTTGTACTGGTTTTAACAAGATAGCTGAGATCAGTAACTCACAGGCATAGGTCATTGTGAAGCCATAATTCATTAGTCCTTGGACAGGTTAAGAGTGTAATTTCAGGGTGAAAGTCCAGAGCTTCATTATGCCAACAGTTCTAACACAAGTGGGATTCTCTTTACTTCAGAGAAATCTGATCTCCAATCCACTCAATGAAGTCATTCATATTCACTTAGGTTTTACAGGTCCAGTAATTCATTTTCTTATATGTCCATCTACAATCCTTGGTTTGACTATAGCTATGAACAGTGCTGGACACTCATCATAAAAAGTTTATAAAAACAATTAAAAAAAGCTGCATCATGGTTTCACTAAGATTTCCTTTGAAACTCTCTGTGTACACAGGGCAAAACCTTGGGCAAGTTTCCTTACTCCACAAGCCTAATAATAATCCCTCCAAAAACCAAAAACAATAACAAATTAGTCATTTTCAATCCACGATGGTTTGTGGGACACTGCTGTGCGCAATTGGCTGCCGCATTTCACCCACAAATATACGGTCAATTCACTTTGTCTATTCTGTAAAGCACTTTGAGACATCGAGAAGACATGAAAAGCGTTATATCAAATGCAAGGATTATTATTATTACTCAGTCCAGCTTAGATTCAAACCCAGGTTCCAGAGATAAATACAGTATGAGAAACCCATAGTGCTCCAATACACCTTTCAATTGAAAACTGAACTGATACTGTGCAATTACAGTGGAAGATGCTTAAGACGAACACATCGGGAGTGGCCATTTTGTCCATCTTAAGTAGCGTCCGAGGCTAACCAAAGTTCTCTTACCTCTTCCCGTCCAGTTGAGGAGCGGTGGTGCCTTCTCTCTCCCATTGCTGTTCCCATTGATCGGGAAGGGGACCAATTAGAGGCAGCTCTGAGGTGATTGACAGCTTGAAGCCACTTGTGAAGTTAGGCTCCACCTATTCATAAATGGCTCCAGGTGTCAATCCACCACGATTTGACTCTTCCCATTCCCTCCCTTGTTTCCCCATTCCTCCACTCCCTCACTGATTGACGTCCCAGAATCGCTTGTGAATGGCTGGAGTCCATCGTCAGGGGAGCGGAGCCGGGACAGAGCGGGGGCGGAGCCGGGACAGAGCGGGGGCGGAGCCGGGACAGAGTGGGGGCGGAGCCGGGACAGGGCGGGGCGGGGGCAAAGCGGGGCGGGGGGAGCTTAGAAAAACGACAAGTGACATCAAAGTGATGTCATATTTAAACAACTGAACCAGGGAAACGTAGAACTAACAAAAACACTAACACAAAACTTTTAAAAAAACTTAAAATCCAGAGAGAGAGAGAGAGAGAGAGGAGAGAATGGCATGGCAGGTAATGTGCGAGGACTATGGTATATGGGCGTTGATGGAGGGCAACCTGAGCTCGGGCGATTTCATCTGCAGCAAGTATCTGCAAATGAGAAAGCTCCAGCTCAGAGTAGCTGAGCTGGAATCTAAGGTGCAGACATTGCGCAGCATTAGGGAAAGTGAGATCTTCCCGGATAGTTTCATCCAAGAGACAATCACTCCCCTGAGACTCAGGGAATGTACAGATTACGTTACTCGTCAGGGACAGGACAGGGTGACTGACAGTTAGGCAGGTAAGGGGACCCCAGAGAGAGTGGTAGAGAAGCCCCAGGCTTTAACCTTGTCCAACAGGTAAGAGGTACTTGCAACCTGTGTGGACAAGGAAGCCTGTGAGGAGTTTGGACAAAGTGACTCCAACACCTCTATACAGGAGGCCACACAAGTGGGGGGAGATAGACAGAATTTACAGTATATTACATTGGTGGTAGTACATGTAAAGCGCTGTCTTACATGAAAGCTGTGTTTGGGACCTTGGATAGTGGTCTGGGAGGAGGTGAAAGGGCAGGTATTACATCTCCTGCGCTGGCACAGGAAGTGTAACAGTACTGTATCTGCTGCTCACAGTATGGTCTCCTTTATATTGGGGAGACTGAGTGCAAATTGGGTGACCGATTTACAGAACACCTTCGTTCTGTGGTCAACCCTGATCTCGGGTCTCCTGCCATTTTAATTCACACTCCCATTCACAGTCTGACCTCTCCATCCATGGTCTCCCACACTGTTCCAATGATCCACAGCGAAAGCTTGAAGAACAGCATCTTATCTATCTGCTAGGGACCCTACAGCCCTCTGGCCTCAATATCGATTTCAGCCACTTCAGACCATAACAGCTCACCCTCCCACCTCCATCTCTTTCTGTTACTAGAAGAGTTACCTTCTGTTATCATTATAATCATCATCCCAGACACTCTTTGTCTCTCTCTGGTGTGTTGCCTGTTCTGCATTATTAACACCTCTTCTCCCCAGTTATGTTTCAACCCACGCCCCACCTTTTGCTTTATGCCACTCTCACCTCTTTAACCCATCAACTAACACATTCTCTCCTTTGTATTTTTTTGTCTTCTTTGTCATCCTTGACCTGGCTCCCCCTCTCAACAACAACAACAAGATTCCATTTATAGAGCGCCTTTCACGTCGGGAACTTTAACACGTCAACTTGTCCTTAAAACCTCTCCCTCCTAACATGCCCCAGTTCTGACAAAGGGTCGTGGGCCTGAAACATTGACTCACTTTCCTTTCTCCACAGATGCTGCCTGAGCTACTGAGTTTTCCCAGCTCTCTCTGTTTTTGTTTCAGATTTCCAGCATCTGCAGTATTTTGTGTTTTGTTCAAGAAAAACTAAGAACTGATTAAGAGGGAGAAAATGGATTATGAGGGCAAACTAACTAGAAACATAAAGACAGACTGCAAGCAGTTTTACAAATACATGAAGAGGAAGAGACTACCAAAAGTGAATGTGAGTCCATTAAAGGCAGACACAGGAGGAATTATAATGGAGGATAAAGATATGATAGTCATTAAACAAATACTTTGTTTCTGTCTTCATGTTAGAAGACTGAAAACTTACCAAAAATAGAGGGGAACCAAGCACCTAATGTTAGTGAGCAACTTAGGGAATTAACATCAGTAAAGAATTAGTACTAGTGAAATTGTTGAGATTGAAAAATGACAAATCCCCTGGACCTGATGGCCTTAGGGTTTTAAAAGAAGTGGCTGCTGAGATAGTGGATGTCTTGTTCTTCCAAAATTCCCTGGATTCTGGAACAGTTCCCATTGATTGGAACATTGCAAACATAACACTACTATTTAAGAAGGGTGGGAGAGAGAAGATAGGGAACTATAGACCAGTCAGTCTGACATCGGTGGTAGGGAGAATTCTAAAATCCTTAATTTGGGATGTCGTAGTGGGATACTTAGAGGACCATAACATGATTAGGCAAAGTCAACATGGCTTTACAAAAAGGAAGTCATGCTTAACAAATCTTTTACAGTTCTTTGAGGATGTAACTAGCAAGTTAGATAGGGGGAACCAGTAGATGTAGTGTATTTAGATTTTCAGAAGGCATTCGATAAGGTGCCACATAAAAGGCTGCTACACAAGATTAGGGCCCATGGAAATGAAGGCAATATATTAGCATGGATCGAAGAGTGGCTAACGGGAAGAAAACAGAGAGTAGGGATAAACAGGTCCTTCTCAGATTGGCAAGATGTGACTAGTGGAGTGCCATAAGGATCAGTGCTTGGGCCTCAACTATTTACCATCTATATCAATTATCTAGACAAGGATATAGAACTTAAAATATCTAAATTTGTAGATGATACAAAGCTAGGTGGGAGAGTAAACTCTGAGGATGACACAAAAAGATTGCAAAGGGATATAGATAGGCTAGGTGAGTGGGCAAGAAGGTGGCAAGTGGAGTATAACATGGGGAAGTGTGAAGTTATTTACCTAGTAGTAAAAACAGAAAAGCAGATTATTTTCTCGAGGGTGAGAGACTAGATAATGTTAGTGTTCAGAGGGATTTGGGTGTCCTTGTACACCAGTCACAAAAAGTTAGTATGCAGGTACAGCAAGCAACTAGGAAGGCTAATGGCATGTTGGCATTTATTGGAAAAGGGTTAGAATACAAGAGTAGGGAAGTCTTGCTGCAACTGTATAAGGCCTTGGTGAGACCGCACCTAGAATATTGTGTGCAGTTTTGGTCTCCTTATTTAAGAAAGGATATACTCGCCTTAGAGGGGAAGAGGGGATGCAGCATAGGTTCACTAGGTTGGTTCCTGGATGAGGATTTGACCTATGAGGATAGGTTGAGTAAACTAGGCCTATATTTTCTAGAATATAGAAAAATTAGGGGTGATCTTATAGAAACATATAAGATTCTTATGGGGCTTGACAGAGTAGACAGTGTGAGACTGTTTCCCCTGGAGGAGAATCTAGAACTAGGGGTTATAGTCTTAAGATTAAGGGTCAGCCTTTTCGAGTTGAGAAAATACTTCTTCACTCAGAGGGTAGTGAATTTATGGAACGCTCTATCCCAGAAGGCTGTAGATGCTCAGTCCTTGAACGTATTCAAGACTGAGATTGATAGGTTTCTAAAGGATAGAGGGATTAAGGGATATGGGGATAAATTGGAGATGGAGTTAGGTTAGAAGATCAGTCTTGATCTTATTGAATGGTAGGGCAGGTTCGAGGAACCAAACGGCCTACTCTTGCTCCTAATTCCTATGTTCCTATGTCAATCAATCGCAATTTGACTATTTCCATCTCCACCCCATAGCCGCTCATGGCTGAATGGAGCCGCTCAAGACAAAGACGGAATAAATTGCCTGCAGAATAAATACAGTTTTGATCTTATTATCAATACACATTATTATTAATAATAATAATAATCCTTGCATTTGATATAGCGCTTTTCACGTCGGGAGGACGTCCCAAAGCGCTTCACAGAACACACTGTGAATTGACTGTATATTTGTGGGCGAACGCGGCAGCCAATTGCGCACAGCAATGTCCCACAAACAGTCGTAGATTGAAAATGACCAATTTTTTTTTTATTATTGTTTTTTGTTTTTTTTGGAGGGATTATTATTAGGCTCTGTGTGGAGTAAGGAAACTTGCCCAAGGTTTCGCTCTGCCTGGAATTGAACTCAGGTCTCTCGCTTGCAAAGCTCTAACCACTGAGCTACAGGACTCCTTAATTATTGAATTAAGGCTGAATAACTGACTTACCTGAGAGTACTTACGGTGACTGGTATGCTGCTCATGAAAATAAAAATAACGTATATCAACAGAAAACACATAATTATGGGCATCTGTTTGCATGTAGAAGGGCATTTTCCTGTATGTGCCACAAATGTATGATTAAAATTCTGGATACAAGAACAGTTCTGATAAATCTGCAATACAATGGGCAAAACCAAAGAATCACCAGCACAATATTTGTTTATTTTCATGCATGTGAGCACAATTGTATTTTATGTAATTATATATATTTTTGGATTTATTATTATTTTTGTCATTATTTATTTTGTCATCAATGAAAAGGAGATCACACATTTTCCACTCTCAGGGGAAAATAGTCAGAGTCTTTCATTATAAATTCTCTTAACACAAAGTGCTGGGAAGAGAAGGAGATTATTGAAGCAATTTATTCATTCGATAAAGATGTGACACGAATGGGATGCAGACAGTCAAATTGCAAATATCCTTAACACTTGAATTTTGTCCCTCCCACATCACTCCCACCCTCGCTCGCCTCCACTGGCTTCCCATCCCCCAGAGCATCGAATTCAAGATCCTCATCCTCACCTACAACGCCTACAATGCCTTGCTCCCTCCTACCTCTCCGACCTACTATCCCCCTACTTACCTGCCCGTACCCTCCATTCCTCTGGTCTGCTCCACATCCCCCGCCCCAACCGCCCTACCATCGGTGGCCGGGCCTTCAGCCTCTCAGCCCCCAGGCTCTGGAACTCCATCCCCCAGTGCCTTCGCCGCTTCCTCCCTTTCCTGCTTCAAGGCCGGTCTCAAGACCTTTCTCTTTGACCGTGCCTTCAGCTCCCCTCTCGACTCTCCACCCCCTCCTCGCTCCCTCCCTTTGCTCCCCTCACCCTGACCATTTCCCCCCTGCTCGGGTCCTGACCCAACTGTCCAGCGCCTTGGGACGTCCTCCCGACATGAAAGGCGCTCTATAAATGAAATCTTGTTGTTGCTTGTGATTGGCAGGAGTGCCAATAGTGAGATACAAACATGTCCATGGAGTTTCATCTCCACTACAATGCTGTTCATTGTTTTTTGGATAGCCAAATGTGTAACACATGCAGTAACTGATTACCATGCTTAAGAGTATTCAAAACAAACTGAAGTGCCAACTAACCATGGGAATTTCCCTTTGTCTGGAACGGAATGCACATTAATTTTATTGCACTAGTGCACAGATCACACTATGTGTGAAACTATACACACTACATCAGCCTTTGTGTGTTTCTTGTTTTTCAAACACTTTGACATGATTTTTTTTGTTCCAATGTGCAAGTGTGGTTCCTAAGCAGATAACTTCTGCCCATTCCTTATGTTGAAGCCACCGTGAAACAATTTGATTTGGGTGAATTCACTGATCACAACTTTGTAAAGCATATTTAGTATGATAAAGGGACCAACCTGCTCTGTTAAATGAGTACAGCCTCCATAACATGCAGAAAAATACTGGACCCCATTAGCTCCACAGATTGGGTTGTAGAATGATTGAAGGCAGCTACAGTTGGCGTTACAGGATGCCTCCAATTCAAATTTGTTTGAAGTGATGGTACTGTAAAATGTAATAAGTGAAAAATTCAATCTATCCTTCTCTGCGTCCATTAACAAATTTTAAAATCACACTACTTGTTCCAAAATATTCATTGAAACATAAGCCCCACCCCATTAAGTTTCATTAGTGATGTGTTATTTGTCAAATCATAAGTTTCTAAAGCACATAAACATTTGGCTCATCAAAAGTCTAAGCTGATGTTTTAATTTAAGACAATCTTCCCCACTCTCTTGTTCACTCCCCTTTTATCCTATTCTTTTTCAAGAATCTGTTTAATTTCCTTTTATAATTGCCTATGAGAGCTGTCAAAAATCCTGTCTTGCCTGGTATCCACCCTTCTCTCATTAAAAATCCCAATCTACATCTACACATGTCACCTCTAACCAGTTTTATCTAAGACTATACGTTGTTTTATTTTGGATCCTAGTTTGTCAATTTCCTTCCTCATTTTAAATACCTCATTTAGATCACCACCTAATTTCCTCAACTCTTTGGAAATATAACCCCAGTGCACCCAAACTCTTATTGTAACTAATTTCTTTACTCCAGATATTAATCTACTGAATCGTCACTGGTTACCCTCCAAGGTTATGCCCTTTCTAGGATTATGTGCCAAAATTGAACACAATGCTCCAAATGAGGTCTGACCAGCAGTCTATACAACAGCAATTCCTTGTTATCAAGTTTTTCATCCTTTCAGCCTTTGTATTTGCTTTCTGCAGCCGCAAACTAACTTTTCATAGTTTATACACTCAGTTGGACTCTTAAATTCCTTTGTCCACCTATCTCCCTAATGATTCTCCGAATGCATTTCTGTTCTCTAGTCTTAAGTTCAAAATTGAAAAGTTCAAACCTCACACTTAGTTACATGGAACCACATTTGCTAAAGTTCTACACATTTGAATAACCTGTTTGCGGCCTTTGCAATTTTCTGCTCATGTTTTCACAAATTATAAGTTTCTAAATGAATGTCAATACAAACTTGTCTTGTCTCCCCTATATTCCTAAACCTATGTCAATTATATATGATGCAGAACCCTGGAGATACCACTTATCATAGTGAACCAATCAGAAAATGTCCTTTTTATCCCAACTCAATGCAGTTTCATTTCAACTATTAATCTCTTAGGTGGCACCTTATCATAGGCCTTATGAAAATATATTAAATGATATCCAGTGATCCATCTTTATCTATCATCTCAACGGTTCTGTTAAGGAATTTATTGGATTAGTCAGACACAGTCTAGCCTTCACAAAACCATTGCCCATTTTTTTCTAATTTGTTCATATTTATGAGGATGCTAAGATACTTTGTCCCTCATGACAGATCCCAGCAATTTGCCAACAATTAATGTTTATGATAGTTATTTAGTTTGTCCACTTTCTCTCATCTTGAATAATGGAAGTTTATTACCTTCCAATTCTCTGGTATAATTTTCAAATCCTGTAAGATAACCCCTTTAAGTTCCTCCTCTTCTCTAACCTCTAGTTTTCCCTTTGACTCTGCTATCAAATCATCCTCTCCACTATGCTGTAAGCTTTAATATCCATTTCTTTATATTCCAAGGCTTACACATATTCATCATCCACCGAGTTCTCACCATAATTTTATATGAATGTTAAAATGTTGAACAATGACATAGTAAAGCAGAAAATGACACTCATTCCAGTTCCAATATATATAATATATAACCAGTTAGTTCATATTAATCCCTGAAAATATTTGACAGAGCAATGCCTTAGTTAAAATTTATGGGATATCATTCAAGACAGCATATTTAACCTCAAATTAGTTACCTTTCATAGGGCCTGTTGACTCCAGCAAGTGGCACATTGTCACATTTTGCGAAGATGAAAACCGCCAAGCAAGTCAGTGCTAGTGTGGTCATAATTATAGCCATTTTAATCATTTTGTCACAACCTAGCTTCAATTTGGAAATGATGATTCCACTGATAATTTGACCAAAGATTGCTCCAGGGGCCAGGACTAGCCCTGAAAAATGAACATTACAATCAAACAACATTCAATGCTGTATCACAGCATCATACCTGCATATTTTCCTAGTAGAAAAAAAATGTTCTTAGAAGTTTCATTGTTCAATAAACTATTGCAAGAAAACATATTCTTCATACAGTAAACATCACTGACATGGTCTGTTTCTATACCTCAGTTTTTCTACTCAAGGCTCTCAGTACACCTGCAATACATAGTAAAACCCTAATAACAGAACCCTGTCTTAATTAGTCTCTACACTTAAGTAGCTATGCTGTCAATGTCCCAGCCGTTTCCCATGCAAAATGTTAATCTTCACATATAACTTGGAAGTACAGTATCATTGTACAGTAACAGATACACGATAGGAAACAGAAAATAAGCATGTGTATAGATACATAGGCCTATACATATAGTTATGAGTTAACAAATAACCTCACAGCTGTGGGGGCTGGGGCCACTCTGTCACATTACCAGCCCTTGTGGTCCCAAAGGACCCAAGCCTATCTCACCACTCTAGATAACTAATCGGTGAGCTCTTTTCCCTTGAAGCAACAAGTTATCAATTTACTATAGTGGTAAGAAAAAGTAGGATACCCTATAACTTAAAAAGCTCAACATTTATTACATATAAATAGAGATTGTGGTTGAAATACATTGGGAAATAATTAACATTAATAGTGCCTTGCAATGGGCACTGTTTGTGGGACAACTCTATGCACCATTGGCTGCAGCATGTCATCCAGAAAATATACTACTCAATGATGTGACAAGGCATACAACAAAATGCAAATGCATTTTACTTTTACTGACAATTATTTACTGACAAGAGGAAAATACCACCCTCCCACAGGTTTGAGTAGGATTGGGTTTGGGTCTGATATCCCCACCTATCAGAACAGTCCAGATTCAGACATGACAAATAGCCATGCCCAAGCATTAGTCAACATCTTGAAGAGAGGAAGGCATAAAGCAGAGAAAAATTGTTTGACTGAATACTGAATTGAAACTAGTGCCACCTGTATTATTTTATGCCTAGAGGTCGAGCATATTCTGTGTTAATCTGCTGCTGTTTTTTCAGAAGCTCCAGGTCCAATGTTTTATGAAGGACATTCTCCTGACTAAGATACACCGTCACCGCCAGCAATATTTCATTCCACTCGTTGTTATTTTTATTCAATCTCAATCAATCCAGGAAGCAGTATGTGCTGCTGGCTTTCCTGACAATGAATTATTATTTTCTGATGTACAGAACAGCCTGTGCCATCTGGTGTATGTACAGTTCATTGAGAAATAACATGAGGTGCTTTCTCATCATGCTCATCTCATCTTTCACCTTTCTTCTCCTTCGTGCCACTGTCTCCCCACCCTACGCCCCCAATCTATTCTCTTCACTGAAAACACTGGCAAATTGCAACCATAAGAGAGCCTCCTGAAGAATCATAGAAATTTACAGCACAGAAGAAAGCCATTTGGCCGATAGAGTCTGCACTTGGCTCTCACAACAACATATTACATTTGTAAAGGGTCTTTCCCATCGGGAACACGTCCCAAGGTACCAGAAAGTCAGGGATTTGGACCCAAGCAGAGGGGTTGAGATCAGGAGGGTGGAGGGTAGGGGTAGGAGGGTATCCAAATGAGCGGTCGAAGAGGAAGGTTTTGAGACGTGCCTTGAAGGAGGCAAGGGAGGGAGCAAGATAGAGAGACTGTGGGATGGAGTTCCAATGGGTGGAGGCAGAGAAGCTGAAGGCTAGACCGCTGATGGTGGGGTGGGCTGAGCGGGGATGTGGAGCAGGCCGGAACCTGCTAAGTGAAGGGAGTGGACAGGTTGATATGAGGCTATCAGGTCACAGAGATAGGAAGGAGCAAGGCCGTGGAGGGCCTTGAAGGTGAGGACGAAGATTTTGAACTCTATCCTCTGGGGAATGGAGAGCCAGTGGAGCCAGGGGAGGGTGAGAGGGTCACGGAGCTTGGTGTGAGAGAGGACATAAGCTGCAGCTTCTTCCTGTATTGTATTGGTTGGAGGTCTCGCCTCGCAAGCGAGAGGACCCGGGTTTGATTCTCGGCAAAGCGGAACGTTAGGCAAGTTTCCTTACTCCACACGCCTCTGTTTACCAAGCAGTAAGTCGGAACCCGGTCACTTTCCTAGGTTAATAGTCCCTCAAAAATAAATAAATTGGTCACTCAATCCACGACCGTTTGTAGGACACTGCTGTGCGCAATTGGCTGCCACATTTCACCCAGAAGATCTACACTTTACAGTATATTCTGTGAAGCACTTTGAAATCTCAATGTCATGATAAGGCGCTATATAAAATGGAAAAGGATTATTATTATTGTTACACTGCCCTGCCCTCTCAAACTTGTATCTTTCATATTCCTGTAACTTCCCTCTTGATACCCACAATGGACTGTGCCTCTACCATGTAACTTGACAGGGCATTCTACATCCCAACAACTCTCGTGTGAAAATAATTCTCCTAAACTCCTCAAAACCAATAGCTGTTCTACCAAAAGCTTGATTGGGTTAGGACCGTCAGTTTTTAAAAAAAGATTTAAAAATATATTTGACATAATGTCCAATCATATGAATAGACTCGCACGATAACATCTATCTAAATTGCCATCTTTTTGTTGCATGGTTATAATGGAATTTCGGGCAATGTCACTGCTATCTCTGCTCAGAAGACTTACTCATTGGCCCTTCAAATAAATAGAAATAAATTATCTCTTCCTCCCAATCACACCAGATCCAATGCTTTGGCTAAAATACCTCAACTACCACAAAACATCATCTAGGAACAAAATAAGATGTTTGTGGGACACTGTGCAGGGTATTAAAACAATCCCGTCACCACTGGAATTTAGGTTCAAATCAAGATCAGATTAAGGGATGAAAATCTCCTCTTTTTGCAGCCTCTCATTGTCTAATCTGAAATTCAACTGGGCAATCTAATCCCTGCTTCTCCTCCAGCAAAGAAACTGGATGAAAATTGTCAAGTCTCACCAAAAACAGCCATATCCACATCAGGGTCAGGAATTGGAAAATTTCACACTGATCCATTTAGAGATATTTGTCTGAGGTTAATTTTTAATCGATCGATTTCAAGATGATCTCACTCATCAAGAAATCCCAAAATGCCATGGCACCTCTCTGTGTTTCTGACCTGCCTTCTCCTCACTCCACTATCTCTGTTCGGCTGGCTCTGGCCTCCCACTTGTCCCTCGTCCACTCCGTTCCACTGGCCACACTTTCAGCCATTTCCCCCGAAAGCTTTGTAACTTTCTCCCCTAATCCCTCCACCTTGCCCCCTCCTACCACTCTTTTAAATCACAACAACAACATTACATTTGTATAGCACCTTTCACATCGTGAGGATGTCCCAAGGCGCTGGACAGTGTACAGCATTTCAAGACGACCTTCTTCTTCTACTGTGCTTATGGTCACCTCCTCCCGCCTTCCAGCTCAGCATCAGGCTCTGCCAATGTTAAGCGGTCCGAGATGCTGCCCTGTGTGAAGGGCACTATATAAATGTGAGTTGTTGTTGTTAAAACATGCTTCTGGGACAGAGTAGAAGAAACATTGCTCTTCATTATATCGCTGACCTATGGATGCTTGATGCTGACACCAGCAGCATTACCTGTGGCCACTGGCAAAAACAGCCAAGATGTTTACAGGATTTTCTCTCCCACCTCCACAACATTGCTCGGCTCTGCCACTGCCTCACCCCTCAGGCCACTGAAACCCTCATTCATCACATCTAGGTTCTTGAAGGTCATGGACCCCAAACATTGACCCACGACTGCTTGTCGGCCTTCCCAACTCTTCCCTCCACAAGCTGAAGATCATCCAGAACATCAGCTTTTGTCCTCTCCTGTACCAGGCTCCACGGCCCCATCACACCCACACTTGCCCGGCTCCACTGGCTCTCCATCCCCCAGAAGATTTAGTTCAAAATCCTCACCCTCGCCTTCAAAGCCCACCATGGCCTTGCTGTTTCCTACCTCTGTGACCTGCTAACCCCATATCAACTTGTCCGCTCCGTCTGCTAAGCAGGCTCCAGCCTGCTCCATATTCCTCACCCGGCTCTTCCACCATTGGCAGTTGGGCCTTCAGCCTCTATGCCTGAACCCTCTGGAATTTGTCTCAAAGACATGATAAGGCGGTATATCAAATGCAAGGATTATTATTATTATATGTTATCCTCCCAATGTGAAAGGTGCTATACGAATGTAATTTGTTCTTGGTGTTGTTGAATAGTGCCATGGGATCTTTAATGTATTGAACCTGAGTTCAATTCCAGGCAGGGCGAAACCTTGGACAAGTTTCCTTACTGCACACGCTTAATAATAATCCCTCCAAAACCAAAAACAATAAGAAATTGGTCATTTTCAATCTACGACTGTTTGTGGGACATTGCTGTGTGCAATTGGCTGCCAAGTTCACCCACAAATATACAGTCAATTCACTTTACAGTGTGTTCTGTGAAGCGCTTTGGGGCATCCTCCCGACGTGAAAAGCGCTATACCAAATGCAAAGATTATTATTATTATTATTAATGTCCACAGCAATTCCAACAATGAAATGTTCCCCCAGCACTATACTCAGCTACCACCCTAAACTGTGGGTTAGTGTCCTGACGGGAAGCTTAAATCCACAACCTTCTGGTTTGGAGGCAGGAGTGCTAACAAACATCCATTCGGCAGGACTAGCATCTATCGCTTTCAACAAAACCCAAAATATATCACACCTCCCCTCCACATGCATAATTTAATGAGTTAATCTCTTAGGTTCAGTTCAATCTGAAATGAAACATTTGTTGTCATTGTATGACACTTAATGGGACGGGGAATTAGAAGGCTGTTGCTAGTTATATTATAGAATGTTCTTAAATATCCTACACTTTGAGTTCTGTTTTAAGCAGACTCTATTTGAACTGCAACAGACTATTCAATGGGGGCAAGGTTATCTGCTTCCTCTCTCACTGACTACTGTAAAATGCTCTTTGACTGAAGCCAATTACTACACTGTGTTTAAATCAATGCTCAAACGTAATACTCAATAGGATTCAAAACATTTGATTTGGCTTTTTCCAGTCGGCACAAAAAAGGAACATTTTCCAGCCTTATTATATTGATTACAGTACAGTAGCAGCTCCACTGTGTAGTGGTGGGTGTCGCGGTGCGAGCTACACTGAAGAATAGCACAGGTGCTCACGAATGCAGGTGTTGGGGTGGGGGAAGAAGAGGATATTTTTTGTTATTCAATTTCTGAATTAAAACAGCTGACAGGAAAGTATGATGGGACAACTGTTTTGAATCAGTAGAATGCCTTACAATTTAAAGACAGGCAAGTAAAAGGTCTTGATATACTGAAGGCTACACACAGAAAAAACAAACTCAAAAGATCGAAGCTGGATTAGTGTAATAATAATTCTTGCATTTGATATAGGCCATATATAGAGTAGTTTTGCCACCCTAATCAACTCTTTTTGGCCACCATAAGAAACTTGAAGGTCATGGACCCCAAACTTCGACCCTCTTTTCTTTCTCCATAGATGCTGCCTGACCTGCTGAGTATTCCCAGCGATCTCTGTTTTTCTTTCAGATTTACAGCATCTGCAGCATTTTGCGTTTTATAAGAAATATCTTGGCTCAGAATAGGTCTAAAAGACAGTAGAATAGAAGCACCGTTAAGAGTATCTGGTCGCTTTAAATTTGAAGTGTTACAATAACATGGAAACAACATGTAAAGAGAATAAACAAGCCTTGTATTGCTTCAAAATCACCTGCAATACATAGCTGAATAAACAGAATTGAAACAGTTTCCCTTTAAACAAAAAGTGTTTGCGAGAGTCAAACACGACAATTGTTAACAACAGGTAACCTTTTGTTACATATTTTTGGAAATCCATTCCAAATGCCATATCTAACCACCTATTCTGTTGTTAATTGTTAAATACTGCTACATCAACTTCAGATGACAGCTTCTGCAGGACTGTGTTTTGATGCATTCCTCTGCTGACAAGCCTAGTGAAAAAATGTTCTTTTAAGTGAATCACTGACGTCTCTTGGAAGTGCTTACCTCCGAGGATGGCTGCCTGACTGGCAGTCTGCCCAAACTGAGTTTCCATAAATTTAGGCAGAAACGTTCCAAGGCCAGCGAGGCTCACCATTTCAGTACAGGTGGATATCGTTAAGCACATGAAGACTGAATTCTTCAGCATCATCTATGAGGAAAGTAGTCCATAAATTAAAGATTGAACAATTTAACATTTAGGCAACTGAAACAAATGCATCCAATAAAATAATAATAATAATAATGATTGTGGATTTTGTAGGCAAACAGCCATGAATTGAATGACCAATTCTATCTATCGGATTGTTGTCCAAAACACTGACAAAAATTCTCTTTAAGTAAACCTACAGGATATTTAATGTCCACTTGAACAAGCAGACGGGATCTCAGTTTAACGTGTCATTCGAAGGATGGCACCTAGAGCAATGCTGTGCCACCACCCCTCACCCCCAGCATTGCATTGGAGTGTCAGACTGAACCCACAACCTTCTGACTTGGACCGTTTTTTTAAACTGCTTTATCAACACAATATCCTTGTAACGATGGTGGCTGTTTGGCTTGGCAAGGTTACTGTAACGTCTTTGGACTGTACAATTCTGAGAATTCTATTGTTTAAGTGCTCATGGTTTTGGGAATGGATGCTTCCAGGATACTGGGAAAGCTGTGTTTCTCCTACCCCCTACTCCTACTCTATTCAATGCTGTGCTGAAAAATGAAGAGATACAACATTTAGAACTGACCGGAGATTACATCATATTTCTTGTTAGCTGCAATTAAATGTGGTACTTATTCTAAGCCACTGAGTTGGAGTAGAGATGTGTGACCAGAATTTGAAATACTCTCACAAGAGAAAACTAGATCTGGAATCTCAGCACAAATATGGGATGAATATCTTCAGGAACAAGGAGAGCCCCTGCAGAAATATGATGCAGGAGTATTCCAGTTAATTTATCATTTTTTTTTACCTGCTGGTAACTAGATGCATCTACATTCAGATCAAATCAGTGTCATGGTTGGCATTACTGTTGTAACTATTATGCCTTACATTATTATCTTTGTTCAATAGTCATTTTAAATATTCCTGTGCTTCCTGTGAAGCATTTTGAGACGTCTCAATGATATGATAAGGGTTAGGGTTATATCAAATGCAAAAAAATGCAAGGATTACTTTCTAATGTTGACCTCCTGAGAACAGGAGAAATAAGTATTTTCTGCTGCCAATTTTTTTTTAAATAAACAATCAGATATGTGTAAAAAGTTGTTGCCCTTAATAATGTATTCAATTGCCAAATGCTTTTCATTGGTTGTTAATTACAAATGAATATCACCTGCAATTCCCTCTGTAGATGTTTACACATGGTGCAAAATAGAATGTTTACAAATGTTTTACATGCACTGAATAAGAAGACCCCTTCAACTATATCATGATACCATCATTCAACACTTAAATCATCTCATGGAAAACAGTAAGCGGAGGGAATACACTGAGAAATGTAACCTGGAACACTTGCATATAACAGCAGGTAACAAAGCCGAAAATAGGTACCATGCAATCATCAGCAGCCATCCCTTAAATAGTTCAACTCTTGCAAAGTTATGGTGCATTGCAACGAGACGATAGATAAAACCCGGCTAGAATTACAATTTGAATCAACCAGTAATTAGCAATCAACCATTAAATAGTTCAGCAGCTTTGGGAGATCGCTCCATATTTCTTTTCAAGCAGATTGTGTACCAGCCTCTCTTTGCTGCCCCCTCATTATCATACATCTCTACCCACCAACTGCGGATTCTGGTGTATCTTACCCATGAGTCGTTGAAAAACCATGTTCTCTGTAAATCCCAAATCTGATATCTATAATATTTGGTAGGCAATCAACCTAAGAATCTAACCAAGAACAAAGTGTGCTCAATTTTGTAACAGATAATTATTTTGTGGCATTCTAGGTGGATGACCAAAATGTGAGGACCTAAATGTCTGCTATTGGGTACAGTCTCAGAATCCAATTGCAGAGAATGTGAAGCTGCCAGAGGCTGAGGAAGAGCAATTGGCAAACCACTTATTACTGAGGCAAGTAGAAATGCCAATTTGGCCCAATTGATCTCATCCTTCCAGAAAACCTACCCGAGACAGCGGACGTACCTACTTCATGGTGTGTGTCTGAGAGCACACATGATATATAGCAACTTGAGTAATTTGCATGAGTCAAGGTGGGACAAAAAAACAAATTCACTTCATTAATTTTTTCGTAAAAAGAAATAATCCATGGAGAATGTGGTAGTCCAGCCACGACTAATGTTGTTACTTCACAAGATGACAGAAACATATTTGAAAAGACAAATGAACATTCACGTTAAAAAAGGGATTTTTCTTTGCAAAGAAAACAGTGCAGAGAAGAAGGTACAGGATCAATGAAGAGATCCCGAGTTCCAATTTGTCAGTTTCACTGCAGGACCTTGAACCTAGACGCTCATGAAATTCCTTTTATCTGCCTTTTATCTACATTTGCCTTTTGAATAACAAATGAAGCACAATGGGGGATAAATCAGATAAAAGACTAACAGGCTAACAACCATGTCAAAGGATTTGAAACCTCTTAACCAAAGACTATAATAAGGAGGGGGCACTGAGGCTATACTCATCTGAATTCTGAATGTGCAAATTGCCCCTTCATAAAATAAACCCAGCAATTCTTTAACGAACCATAAAAGGACATTTTTTTTTTAGTGGGCTTGGTGTGTTTCACCCACAGAAACCCATCACCATTCTTAAGAGTATCCAAACCAGACAGAATTCCATACATCTTATGTACACATGGAAATTCCTGTTTGTTGGAATGGAATACACTCTCTCTCCCCATAAAGATGCATCCTGCTTATCTAATTCCAGAGAGCATCAGGCACAGATTGGCGAGAGCCAAGGCTTAAGGACCCCAAAGTGTGCGTTGGAGTGCTGCAGAAGTCTAACCAGCTAAAACCACATAGCTTGCCATTGAAAGCACTGTCGAGAAAGCTCACCACTGCTTGTCCAGTTAGGACCACCATAACTGTTAGGGCTTTGGCTTGCAGGGTTAACAGGAGCTGAATGGGAAGAGTCCCTGCCCTTCCAAATCCTGCCACTGAGCCAGACTAGGCTGCATCAGCAGTGCCTGGAGTAGTGATCTACGAGACAACACTGTCCCATAACAACCAAAATGAATTACTAGTTTTAGAAATAATCAAGCAAATGAGAGACAGGATATATTAGGATTAATTTGCAGGAATTTACTGCATCAGTCATGTTACCCAGTAAATTTAAAAGGCACACAGATAGGAGATGATCACAGATGGTGAAAAAAGGAAAACAAATGGATGGAGGGTAAGCCACTTACAAAGCTGCCTAAAATAGGTAGAACTATGAACTTTACACATGACATGGAGGAACCTGCATTCACCTAATGGATCTAATTTCTTGCTACACACTATTTGTCAGATTACAACAACTTGGATTTATATAGCGCCCTCCACGCCGGACGGCGTCTCAGAGTCTTCACAATAACAGATCCCGGGGCCGAGCAGGGGGAAGAAGGTGATCAAAGGCGTGGTCGAAAGGAAAGGTCTTTAGCCAAGTCCTGAAAGTAGGAAGAGAGGAGTAGAGGCGAAGGGAGTGAGGAAGGGAGTTTCAGATCCTCTGGGCATAGTGGCTGAAGGCACGGCCACCGAGGGTGGAGCGGAGGATTTGGGAGACAAGGAGGAGGCCAGACCCAGTGGAGCAAAGGCAACGGGCACTGTTGTGAGGAGAGAGGAGGTCAGAGAGGTAGGAGGGTGCAGAAGAGTGGAGGGATCTGAAAACAAGAGTGAGAATCGTGAAATTGATCCTCTCTGGGACAGGCAGCCAGTGCAGTCTGGCAAGGACTGGGGTAAACGGGGAACGGAGTTTGGTGCAGGTAAGAATGCGGGCAGCAGAATTCTGGATGACCTGCATTTTATGGTTGGTAATGGAGGGGAGACTGGCGAGGAGGGCATTTGAATAGTCCAGCCGAGAGGTGACAAAAGCATAGACCAGGGTTTCGGTGACTTTTGGGGTGAGATATTGGCAGAGACGGGTGATGCATCGGAGGTGGAAGAAAGCGGTGCTGGTGAGGGACCGTATGTGGGGGAGGAAGGATAATTGGGGGTCGAACCTGACGCCTAGGTTGCGTGCAGGTTTGGAGAGTTTTAGGGGCAGGTCGGGTAGGTGAGAACCATACGATTGAAGACATTGACGAGAGCCAAAGAGTACGGCTTCCGTCTTGTCAACATTTAGCTGAAGGAAATTCACGCTCATCCAGCTCCTGATGTCTGACAGGCAGGCTGACAGAACATCAGGGGACTGGGGGTCACAAAGTGAGGTGAAAAATAGAGTTGGGTGTCGTGGAAGTGTACCCCATGTCTGCGGGTGACATCCCCAAAAGGGAGCATACAGATTAGAAAGAGGAAGGAGCCAAGGATGGATCCTTGGGGTACCCCACAGGTAACCGGGTGAGAGTGGGAGAAAAAGCCTTTTGTGGAGATGTACTGCTGACGGTTTTGTGAGGTAGGACTCGAACCAGGCGAGTGCGGTCCCACTGAGGTGGATGTTGGAGGAAAGGTGGTGGAGGAGGATGGTGTGATCGACTGTGTCGAATGCGGCAGAGAGATCCAGGAGGACAAGGAGGCAGAGGGAGTTCCTGGTCACAGATAGAGAGGATGTCGTTTGAGACTTTCACAAGCGCAGTCTCTGTACTGTGGGCAGGACGGAAACCGGACTGGAAGGGTTCGAAGAGGGAGTGGGAGGAGAGATGTGTGCAAAGTTGATTGGCAACAATGCGTTCTAAGACTTTAGCGAGGAAGGGCAAGTTTGAAATAGGGCGGTAGTGGCTGGGGTTTGAGGGATCTAGGGAAAGTTTTTTGAGGAGGGGGGTGATGGCAGCATTTTTGAGGGGGGCAGGGACTGATCCAGAGGAGAGGAACTGATTGATGACGTCAGCCAGTAGTGGGCAGAGGAGGGGGAGCTGTGTGGTAAGTTGGTGGGGAGGAGGTCGAGGCAGCAGATGGTGGGTTTCATCGAAGTGACGGTGGGTGAGAGGGAGGAAGGAGAGATGGGGAGGAAGGAATGTAGGATGGGGGACGAGGTAGGAGCGATAATGGGGAGGGTGAGTGGGACGGAGAGGGAGTGGTGGTGGGTGGCAAAAGGCAGGAGGATGAGGCTGCCTGGTGGATATTATCCGTTTTAGTTTACCAAGTTCTAATGAACGCAAAGCGGTTAACTCCCCAGAATGCCTGAGCCAAAAAGATTACATGTCTGACCTTTTCTACCAGTGCAAATATATAACCAAAGATAAAAAGGAATAAGAATGTGCTGGGAAAGGGCTGATAAATGGAGCTGAAAGAAGACACAATGGTCTTCTTCTATGCTATAAACTTATATGATTTTACGGCTACCATCATTATGAATTTGCACTGAGGGGTTTAACACAGCAGCAAACAAATTTACGCTATGAATAATCAATGGTTTGTCTTTCAAAGTCTGCATTTTGCAGAAAGGGCAAATGTGCCTGAAGCAATCGTCACATTTAATTTTTGTTTTAAATATTCTAGATCAGCATCGTACCAACAGATGGGGGTTGGTGATGTCAAGGCATGTTTCCTCTCATGTTGTGTTAACCTGGATGAATAAACATGCTAAACCGTCTGACAATGTAGGTTGCATTGTCAGATAGTTTATCATGTTTATTCACCGAGGTGTTAATTAACTTGCGCAAGAAGTGCATCTCTAAGTGTATCTTACCATCAGTGCCATAGGGAAATCCTTAATACCATTTCCTATAAAATCCTTTGTAAACATTGCGTCTTTTCCATATTTATGGGCCCAAGACATTTTTTCGGCTTGGATTTTCTGGGTACCTGCAGAAGAAAAATTGTACAAACCCTGAGTAGGATCATTGAAGGGATTTTGTTGTAGTCAAACTTGATGCTCCTGAAAAATGAGCAACTGATAATGTAAAGGCTGGGTGGCCCCACAGGGAAACTGAACATCTATTGAAGTGCATTTTACAGTATCTGTTTTGTGTTCTATATGGTTGTACATTTTGCATTAGACTGGAGCAACTGTTGCTGTCTGAGGAATCGTAAAGTTCAAGTTCACTACATTTGCCAACAATTTTGTTAAATGGGTGAAATGGGTATCAGCCTGGGTGAGTCAGTGGCACACTTGCTTCTGAAACACAATATTGTGGGTTCAAGCCTCACGGCGGGACTTTGAGCTCAAAGTCTCAACTAGGGATGGCCAATTTCCGGCCATTAATATCAAAATAAAAGAGTGTGTCCATTTCACGCATGAGTAATGCAACCCGCAAGCTGGCCATTCCTTGTCTAAACTAAGATGTCAATACAGTGTTGGGGAGGTGAGTCAGAGGTGCCGTCTTTTAAATGAGATGTTAAGGTAAGGCCCTGTCTGCCTGTTCAAATGGAAGTTAAAAAACCCATGACACTATTAATAATAATAATCCTTGCATTTTGTTATAGCGCTTTTCACGTCGGGAGGATGTCCCAAAGCGCTTTACAGAACACACTGTAAAGTGAATTGACGGTATATTTGTGGGCGAACGCGGCAACCAATTGCGCACAGCAATTCCTACAAACAGTCGTAGATTGAAAATGACCAATTTATTATTGATTTTGGTTTTGGAGGGATTATTATTAGGCGTGTGGAGTCAGGAAACTTGCCCAAGATTTCGCTCGGCCTGGAATTGAACTCAGGTCTCTCACTTGCAAAGCGAATGCTCTAACCACCGAGGTACAGGACTCCACAAAAATACAGGACTATTCAAAAAAGAGAAGAGTTTCTCCCAGTCTTGTGGCAACAATCCTTCATGAATCCCCCAGGAGCCAAAGCCCTAATAAAAAAGGTGATAGTAGTTGGATAAGCAGCATAAAGTTGCCAGTTTTCACAATGGTAAGCTGCACACTTTTAGCTCGTGCAGCAGCCTGGCACATATGCTGGGATCCCCAAGCCTTGCCTCTTGCAAACCTAAACTCTCTAGTATTAGCTAAGCAGGTACATCCTGAGAAGGGCTTTAAGATGTCTTCCCTATGTGAAATGTGTTCAAAATTATTATTCAAAAATTTTAGTTCAAAATTATTATTATGGTCGATACGTGGTAACAAGCATTAAGCCACACTAAGCAACATTTTGGGCCCAGGATGTCCCTCTGGGTCAGCAAACAACTAGGTTCCATATCTCAACATCCATTCTCACTGTCCAATCTCACAGTCTCCTTGCCCAAGTGACTGGTCTGTCCTTCCAAGTCCTGCCAATGAGCCAGCCTGGCTGTGCTGTCATCAGTAGTGACCTGGACTACTGCGGACTCGCCTGACAACACTGTCCCATTACATCCAAAATGAATTACTGTTTTTGGAGATAATTAAGCAAATGAAAGACATAATAGACTTTGCAGTAAATCATGTTAAGCCCTTTGAGATTTTGAGACAACATAAGGCATTACATTAAATGCAAGGATTATTATTATCATTAACACTGCAGCAGATGTGCTCCATTTGACACTTGGACAGCTGGACATCAGGCTCCCTAAAGGAGCCTGTGAACAGAGGTAGTTAAAACAAAAAAAACCTTTAAACAAAACAGAAAGATGCTCTATGAGCACAAACCGTTAATTTGCAATACATACCTTAACAATTACCTTCCCTTTCATTTAAATTGCCAATTGTGGGACATCGGAGTCAATATTTTTTAGTTTGAGTGTAGTTAAACTACAATGACTTTGTAAGAACATTGTGTTACCATTGCTATTGAAAGATAAACAATCTTCATTTTAATTGTGTAAGATTTGAAGCTGCAGTTTAAAGTGTTTCCGTTGCTTATCTAAAATTATAATTCACGGAAAACATTACTGTTAAAATGAAGAACATTGCCTGATGGAATAATTATGCGCCTGTGTTTTCATCAGATGACTAAGGCCTGCAAAATATATCTCTGGAATCCATCAGTCACAGTTGAGATGAGTTTCATTTGTCTCTGTCTGGCACATATTGAAGGACATAAAGTATCAGGGCTACCTCAGGTTCATCACAAGCATGCATCCTGCTGGCCAAGATTAAAGCAATATTGATGATTCAAGGACAAGTCTGATTCATCCTTCCTTGCCAACTGAAGTTTATTCTGTGGATGCATACACACTTTACAGACCAAAACAACAACAACAACAAGATTCCATTTATAGAGCGCCTTTCACGTCAGGAGGACGTCCCAAGGCGCTGCACAGTTGGGTCATGACCCGAGCAGGGGGGAAATGGTCAGGGTGAGGGGAGGGAAGGGAGGGAGAGAGGAGGGGGGAAATGGTCAGGGTGAGGGGAGGGAAGGGAGGGAGCGAGGAGGAGGAAGAGAGTCGAGAGGGGAGCTGAAGGCACGGTCAAAGAGAAGGGGGAAAAGGGGGAAAAAGGGGGAAAAAACAATTTACACTTATATTAGAGAGAGGAAGCTGGGTGGTGGGTGGCCGAAAGCACAATGAAAGCGATAGGCCTTCAACCCGGATTTGAAAACAGAGAGGCAAAGGGTAAAAGATGAAGAGATTTTAGAAGAGAGTGGCTGAAGGTTCACTTGTTGAAGTGGTGGTGGGCAGTGGAGTGGGTGGGAGTTATGAGTCAGACCAGAGTTGGTGGAGAAAAGGGAGTAGAGTTGCAGGGTGGTGCAAGGCCATGGCGATATTTGTAGGCAAGGTAAGGATCTTAAATTGATCCATGAGGGGATAGGGACCAGTAGAGCTAGGAGACAGATAATGGGGATGATGGGCTCAAAGAGCCTGGTGGATAACAGGATATAGGCTGCAACGTTATGTATGGTTTGGAGTTTGTGAAGGATGCAGATGAGGAAGTGGCAAACAGGTTCACTGGAGAAGTCCAGTCTGGAGATTATAAAGATATGGATGAGTGTTTCGGCTGCATTGTGACAGAGGTGAGCAATATTGCAGAGATGGAAGAAAGCAGATTTGGTCAGAGCCAGGATGAAAGTTTAAATGAGAGCTAAGAGTCACACAAAGCACAGATTCTGCAAACACTCCATGATTTGAAGGGAGAAAACAGAGGTAGATATGGTGAGTTCCTGAGCTCAGGAGGTACTGACAAGAGCCGAGCAGGATGGCCTGTTTTTTCAATGTTCACTTGGAGAAAGTTACAACTCATCCATACATGACTTGATATCTGAAAGCAGTTTATCAGAACAACAGTAGATCTGGAATTGAAGGTGGATGCAGAAAGTGGAGCTGGGTATCATTCATGTACATAAGAAAGTGGACATAATGTCTACAGTTGATATGACTAAGGGAGAATATGTAAACAATGAAGAGAGGACCAATGATAGAGTCTTGGAGCACACTGTACATAACTGTGATATGAAAAGAGAGAGGTGAAGCCAGGTTTTATTCTACAAATTAATACAGCAAGGGAGAGCAGTTTCCTTTGGCGTAATTCATTACTCTGATACACTGTTGTGTATAATCTAATGGTGACTGAACCTGTCAAAGCTGCCATGAAGCTTCAGTTATCCTTAAGTACTTATAATCCTCAACATTCTTCAGAATACATGAATGATTACATTTCCAGGCATTCATCCGTAAATCAGGTCTGTTTTTGTGTTGTATGCAAAATAAACATTTCTATAAATGACTGAAGTTTATTAACTGTAATTTCTGCGGCACAATTTAGGTTGTACGCCTTGCCAACTGCAAGGTTGAGTGCAGTGCTGTAAATCATGTTTCTGTTGGCTGTTAGCCAGTGTCCCTGAATGCCACACGGTAAATCATTTACAAGCAGACAAAAGTCGCAATTAGGTAGTTAAATACAGCTTTCGCTTCAAGATTAAAGTTTGCAAATTGGAGTTTTCAAGGATAGAACAAAATTTATTTTATGATGCAGGGTATGATGAATGAGCTGATCATGGGCATTATTTTGTTGGGGAGTGAGAATATAAGAAAACGTGGAATGAGAAAGGATCATTTTGTCTACTCAGAGCGCTCCTTCCACAAATCTTGGAAAATCTACTGTATCATTGCCTTCTTCCATCAACTGTATCACTAAATCTAAGTGTGTCTAGATATTCCCATAGCACCTAGTGCCTTGACATGAGCCTGCAATTAGGTAGCTCTAGTTTTCCTTAGTGTTTTAGCCTACATTCAATGCACAGTCTATTCTGCATGTCAACAGCTTGTCATGTAAACAAGTTATCTTAAGAAATGTTTTAGATTTTTGTGAGGTCCCTTTAGCATAAATTCTACTTCCTTGGTCACCTCCCAATAATACTCTCGGTACTTTAACTAAACATTTAAATGGAACATTTAAATGGGAGAGGTAAGTAGTTTGTTTGGAGCTGAGCTGACTCCAGGTGCATGGCAACTGAATTTTGGCAACTGGTCAAACCTCTGCTCTCCATAGACCAGCAACTGAGCTAGGCAGGTCTGAGGTACTCCAAGGCTCTGCAACAGAACAGTCAGCCTGACTCCTTGGCAAATTCAGGGATTTATTTCTACTCAGCTCCTGTTAAGCTGCAAGTGAAACGTATAAAGGGCATGGTGGTCCTATCTAAACAAGCAGAACGAAGCTTGCTGAACAGTGCTCTCAATGGAAAGCTACCAGGATTTAGCTGCCTCTATTTCAGCAGTATCCCACCTCACACTCTGGGGGTCCAAATCTTGGTTCTCGCCAATCTATGATGAATACTCTCCAGATTTAAGTAAGCAGGGTGCATCCACAACAGAGAGAGTTGGCATTTGAATTCCAGACAGAGACATGTCAATGCGTCTTTTGCATATAATTGTGGAGCTCTCAGTTTGGTTACTGTTAAGAATGTGATGAGTCTGAGAAAATCAAGTGAGGAATTAAATACTCACAGAACTGCCGGAGGTCTTGAGTGTCTGTGGCTTGTGATGGAATAAAATTATTTTCCAAGATTCTTTGGAGTTTGGGGAGGAGGGGAATATGGAACTGGTCCTTTACTCTTGCTGCTTCCATGAATTTGTGAAAAGGGGGTTTTGTACAATTGTGAAATAGACCCATTGATACAAGAGTACTGGTACAATATCTAATATAAAATGCTGAAATTTGTGCTCTTCAAAGTCAGGGATGTTCATGGTAGAAATTAAGCACTTTCCCATTTGAGACACTGCATGCAAACCCATCAGATATAGCACATTGAGCCACATCTCAACTCCAAGCCAATCCATAGGAAATATACGTATATATAGGAAATAAATTGTCCAACATCAATTCACCATAACTTATAAAATATATGACTCAGGCAAACAGCTCCTTCAAATTATTTTAATTGTTTAGTCTTCTGGAAACCAGCAAGCTGTTTGCACTTTTAATAAAATGAATATTAATCAATAATAATTAGTTGTGAAATTTACCTGGTAGATGTTTTGGGAAGCAAGACATAGGCAGAATCAGACACCAGGCTAATACCCAGCACATTAGAAACCCAATCCACCAGGCACCAAGCCATCGAGAATCATTGATCTGTAAATCAACACTGAAAACAAAATAACAGCCTTTTAGTGTAAGAATGTATTCACAATATCACAACCTGTCAGCCCACCATCACCAGAACCCATTAAAAGCCTGAGATTTTCCATATTAACTGGTTCCATTTAAATGTTTAGTTAAATTAGCCTTTAAGAGTTCTGCTGAAGTACTCTCCTTTTCACCCAAAATAAAGTACTTTGTTTGAAAATAGAATGCTGTTGTGTTAAAAAATCAGTTTTTATTCAGCAAAGCAACAACAAAATTACATTTGTATAGTGCCTTTCAGGTCGGGAGGATGTCCCAAGGTACTGGACAGTCAGTGTTTCGGACCCGAGCTGAGGATCAGGATTGGGGAGTGTGGAGGGCAGAGGGGGAAGGAGGGTGATCGAAGGCACTGTTGAAGAGGGGGTTAGGAGGTCGCAGAGGTAAGGGGGAGCAAGGCCATGGAAGGCTTTGAAGGTGAGGACTAGGATCTTGAACTGTATCCTCCATGTGATGGGAAGCTAGTGGAGTTGGGGAAGATGGGGGTGAATGGGTTACGGAGTCTGGTGCGCAAGAGAACAGGCTGCAGAGTTCTGGATGACTTGCAGCCTAAGGAGGGATTAAGCAGAGATTAATTCCATTAAATTAATATGGTAGTGTTGAATAGAGTGCAATTCCAGTCCAATTTAGCGCCACTGTATGGAATTCTAGAGAGAAAATGTACTGTGGGTTAGAATAAATAATTAAAGTGACTGTGGTGGACTTTTGGAAAATAATTGACTTTTTGTAGTACAATTTGTACTGGCAGATAACCACAAAATAGTTAGAATCCTAGTTGCAGTTTGTTCTGTAGTTGTTTCAGTATTAGTGAAATTGCCTTCTTCCAACCTGTTCCATAGTGACTGGAATTCAACCTTTGGGTCTGTTATTAGCCATGGCAGATCTTTAAGCTAATTTTTCCCTACACCTTAATAACTAAGTATTTACATCTGTTTTAAACAGCCAATTCTGCGCCAGTGTATTCTCTGTATGAAGCAATCGTTTCTGATTATCTATAATCATCCAGTCAAACAATCCACGTGTAAAGGAAGGTAACAAAAGATCAATATTGCCGTAAGCTTGTAAGGTGCAGATTTGTGCTCCTAGATCATTGGTTTACAATATCATTGAATTATTTAATCAAAATAGCAATTCTTGCTGTATTGATGGTTCTCAATCTATGTTTAAGTATACTTTAATTGAATGCAGAGGAAATATCAGGTACAATAATCAAACATAGTTGTGGTAATCTTGACTTCTTGACTTTTCACTACTTGAACTAACTTTCTCTTCTAATTTTTGGTCTAACATTTGAGAAGAAAACAGCAACTAACTTCCATTGTCCAGAACATCTATACAATATACAATGTAGGCAATGGGGATACCACAATTTTCTCCAACACATAATATATTTTGTGTTGAGACAGATTCTTGAAATTTAGATTACGTTTTTAAAATCAATGTTACTCTTTCACGATGAACTTAGATTTTTTACTTAACTATGACTAATATTTAAACAAAATGCTCTACCAAAATGTTTTCTGCTACTATCCAAATTTGAACCTTAAGTTTTCCTTGAAGGCATTCCATTACAGGTTGTACGAGGCAATATTGAAATACGAATGAATGACCTTCTTGACTGTGGTGGGAACTCATTTAAAAATGTAAAACCAGATAAGTTCTCATCTTTTCAACTTTGTAAGATTTTTGAAAATTCCTGTACTTTATGTATATTGCAGTTAGTTGGTTAGATTAGTTAGTTAAGAAATACATGAGCTTTTTAAAAGTGTACCCAAAGGAATACAATAAATGCTTTGCTTCCTAACGTGCTGGAATGCTGTTTCCTGGTTACGCTAATTTAAAGCAGTCTGGGATGCTACCCCATCTGAAGGGCGCTATATGAATGCAGTTGTTGTTATATTCCAAAATTTATCCCGTATTCAAATTAGTTAGCTCCTGATCTTTCCAAAGACTTTCATGCTCTCGCATCTCCCTACCTGTCTGATTTGCTTCCCTCCCCCCCACTCACTGCCTCCGCTCGGCTGGCTCTGGCCTCCTGTTCGTCCCTCTTCTCTGATCCACCATCGGTGGCCACGCTTTGAGCCACTACGCCCTGAACTCTCTCCCTCAATCCCTCCGCCTTTCCCCCTCCCTCCCCACTTTCAAATCCCACCTAAAGACCTTTGTTTTTGATTGTACTTGTAGTCACCTCCCCCTCCCTCTCCCCCTGGCTCGGGGTCAGGCGCTGAGATGCTGACTCAGACGCTGCTGTGTTTAGCTAAATAGCAACTTTCACTTTAACTTCTAATGAATTACATTTTGTAAACAACAACAACAAAATTACATTTGTATAGCGCGTTTTATGTTGGGAGGACTTCCCAAGATGTTGGGGGCTGGTAAAGTGCTTCAAATAGTTTAATTTTAGGTCAAAGATGCATTATAAATGCATATTATTGTACATGTTATTATTAGTCTTCTGAAGTATACGTTATTCAGCGTGCCCTTCAGGTATGCCAGTCTTTCAATTGAGAAAATATGATGGGATTTAGAAGAATGAAAATTAACTTACTTGGAAACTTTGTTAACATCAATATAGACATTCAGCATCTTTCCACCGAAAGTAAAGCCAATGGCAGGCCCCAGAATGGACAAGCCAGTTCCAATACCTGGGAGATTTCACAGCATGGATTTATTAATTAGAATGGAAATTCTACCAAATACAAGATAAAATCATTTACTCATATTTCTATTTATAATTTCAGTTACTTGATATTTGCATTCTGATTAAATTACTAATATAGTCTAACTCAAATTTAAAAAAAAACACACACAGGGATTGTATAAAAGTCTAATTGTGCCAGGTATTTATAAGGAATCAACCATATTTATTATGACATTTTACATTCAGATACCACCAACATTTGGAATAACAATGAGAACAACCTTTTGATACTCAGGACTAGCTCAAATTCTTCTTAAATGTGGATGGACCATTATTAAATAAACATGTCAGGTCACTTCATCTAAAGAGATCTCTGCTGTGGACCAGCCATGAGGTAATCCCATTCCAGGACTGAGACTAACATTGAGAAACAATGGCGCTAATGTAATGTATTCTGAAGCTGCGCGAATATCTATATTCCTAACAATTGTGTCTTTAGAAATGCAGAAAATTTTCATCTCTAAACATACCGAGGACCTGTGTTCCTCTTCTCACACACAGCCAGCGGTCAGGATAGTTGTAGTGTTTACAATTAAAGAGGGAAAATTTGGTGTGCGGATCCTCAATCTATCGTTTCTTTTCTGTATCTATCTATAATATCTATCTTTTCCTGCTGTGCAAGACCTAAAGATCATACCTTCAGAAATAAAATAAGAGAATAGAAAGTGCGAGAGATTTTTTTAAAATAACTTCTTGCACACGTCTAACCTATTTTGAAACAGTTAGAATTATGTGGCAATTCAGGAGAATCCATTTCATCCTTTTTCTTTTAAATTCTCTTAAAATAGATCATTGTACAAAAGTCCTTGCTTTTGACGTAGCATTGACCTGGGCCAATAGATAAGTGAGGCTGCACCTTTTCTGCTACAACGACCCACGTCCACTACAAACCCATCATAAATGTAGTTTCTGGCCTGCGGGCCGCTCGTGCTGTTTACCTGATGTCACATTTGGCAGAGCGGCTCCCGATGCGCATGCGCAGTGCGGGTCAAGTGGCAAATGGGCTTCAGTCGGAGGCCCTGTTGTTGTGATTGTCTCTTTGTGAGTGTGTCTATGTCTCTTCTATGTGTATGTGTGTCTCTATGTGAATGTGTCTCTCTGTCTGTCTGGGTGTGTGTCTCTTTGTGTCTGTCTCTTTCAAAACACAAACCCGGATGCTCGAGCTTAGATGGCAGAAATCCAGCCTTATGATTCACCTCCATCTGTGGCTCGAGCACCTCCGCACCTACAACCTCTCCTTTTCACAAGCCCAAACTGACTTTTACTCCAAGGTCATCCTGGTGGCAAACAACAATCCTAAGACGCTACTTTCCACCATCCATCACCTCCTCCATGCACCCCCTCAAGCCTCCCCTATCCTCGTGTCAAACGGCAAGTTCGAAGAGGTCCTACACTTTCTCCCTACTTCTCTGATCTCCTCACTCCCCAATCTACCACACAGCTCCTCCACTCGACCGGCAATGGCCGACTGCTTGGCCCTCACACCCTCCGTCACACCATTGGAGGTTGTGCTTTCAGCGACTACGCCACAAAATTCTGGAACACTCTCCCTCAATCCCTCTGTCTTGTCCCCTTTCTCAAGTCTCGCCTGAAAACTTTCCTCTTCAACCGTGCTTACGGCCACCTCCACCCTTCCCGTGGCTGGGAGTCAGGCTCCACCACTGTTAAGCGCTCTGAGACGCTACCCTGTGTGGAGGGCTCTATATAAGTGCAAGTTGTTGTTGTTTATAAGTAAGTATGTCTCTCTCTCTCTCTCTCTCTGAGATTGCCTCTCTGTGTCTGTGAGTGTGTTTCTCTCTCTGTGTCTGAATGTGTCTGCGTGCAGTGCCGGCCCTGAGAGGCAGGAGGTGGTGAGCTCCTATAGCCTTGCTGATGTTCCCCCACCCCACCAAAAAAAAGCCACCGAGTTTTTTTTAAAAAGCAATTAATAATTATTTTGCAACAATTGTGTTACTTCCTTATGTTTAGGAATGTGGAGTCCTGGAGCTCAGTGGTTAGAGCACAAGCGAGAGACCTGGGTTTAATTCCCAGCAGATCGAAACCTTGGGCAAGTTTCCTTGCTCCACACGTCTGATAATAATTCCTCAAGAAAAAAAACAATAATAAATTGGTCACTTCAATCCACGACTGTTTGTGGGACACTGCTGTGCGCAATTGGCTGCCGCGTTTCACCGACAAATAGAACAACAAAATTACATTTGTATGGTGCCTTTCATATCGGGAAGACCTTCCCAAGGTGCTGGGATACACATGTACAGTCAATTCACTTTACAATATATTCTGTGAAGCGCTTTGAGATGTCTAGAAGACGTTAAAAGCGCTATATCAAATGCAAGGATTATTATTTATTATATAGTTTTTATCAATAAAGTGAAAAATGTAGCAGTAAAATATAGCTCAATAGCACCAATCACTCCATAAAATCTAACAAAGACCTCTGCAATCCCCTGCAAGATTCACAAAGTGCTCCACATTGTTTTTGTAAAAACATCCACACTTTTCTGTTGGCCCAGGCCATGACTAAAATGTCACATGGATCTTCTCGTTCTTTTCCTTCATCGAGCAAAACAAACTTGTCAAGCACTTTCATGTAAATATCATGTCAAAACAACTTGAATTTATATAGCGCCCTCCACACAGGATAGTGTCTCAAAGTGCTTATCAGTGGCGGAGCCTGACTACGAGTCGGGCGGGGGGAGGTGACCCTAAGCAAGGTTGAAAAGGAAAATTCTCAGGAATTGAAGAAGGTAAAAGAAGGCGGAGGAATTGAGGGAGAGTGTTCCAGAGTTTCGGGGCATAGCAGCTGAACGTGTGATCACCAATGCTGGAGCAGAGGGCGCGAGGGACAAGCAGGAGCCACTTGGTGGATTGGGAAGCAAGAAGGTTGGAGAGGTAGGGAGGTGCCAGGGAGTGAAGGGATTTGAAAACAGTGTAAGAATCTTGATGTTGATCCATTCAGTGATGGGGAGCCAGTGCAGCCTGGCCAGAACTGGTGAAATGGGGGTATGGAGTTTGGTCCGATTTGAATATCGTGCCCCTACTCCAAAAACAAAACAATTTCTCCAAAAGCTAGTAATAGTAATCTTTGCGTTTGATATAGTGCCTTATAACATTGTTGAGACATCTCAAAGAGCTAGTAGTTTACACTAGAGCAGTTCAATGTGCCAAACTTCCATAAAAAAGATACAAGGCCTTCACATACCTATATAAAGGGAACTCTTTTCATGAGGCACACATTCATCAATGGAGGCTGTCCCCAGTGTGTATAAAGGAACGCCTCCGACACCACACAACAGCTGCCCCAGGATAAAGATGTATAGGAAATTAAAGTTTGGAGACTCCCCCAAGTTGTTGTAGGTGGACAAGCTGCCATTGATGTTGGAAGCAGCACAAGTATCTGAAACAAAAAGAAAAACTGCATTTCCACTTGAAAATTATTATCACCTTGCCTGAATAGAAAATTAGCAAATAATTAATTGTACAGTTACCCCTTGGGTAGGCATCAATGTCATTTGTCCTACACAGAGCAGTGGAGATGAGGACAAGATGCTCAGCCAAAAAAACAAACAGTTGGTGTGCTGCCAATTAATTCCTTCCAAACAACTGTTGCGCAAATATCTGAAAAGAATTATTATTAAGACAAATAAAAACGGAATGTGAAGGTGTCTGTTACTGTGACTGTACAAATATTAGCTAAAAAGCGCAACAAGCTAGGGATGCAAATTATAGGTGGGAAGGTTGGATACACATTTGAGTTTTTATTTGGTTACTCATGGTAATCAGTGAAGAATTGCTTGGGGTATTTTCCAGGTTACGGTATATTGCACATGGTCTGTGGAGGAGCAGTTTTCATTGTCAAAAATGCTCTTTTTTTGTACAATGTTATGTTCTCAATATGGCCAATGGGATGTTTTGCTGTGACCGTGGTAACTTCTTTGCAGCTCCTGACTAACTAATTAAATTATTTCTCTGAACCTCTTGGACATCTGGAAATTACCATCAAACATTGAAAGAACTCTGATAACATCTGGCTCAAAGAAGTAAGAACCTTCAATTAGAAAATAAAGAGTAAGAAAACAGCATGCGCCACTCAAAGGTGGTAAATAAAGATGGTGGAATTTTTACATGGCTGATCAAAGCAGTTTCCTAGTATAACCAATATTCAAATAATAAAATTGACTTGATGCAAAATAGTGACAGGGAACACATCAAAGTAAGTTGCTGTGGAGAACCAGCTCCTTGAAAACAAAGAGAAGCAATTTTTGAAACCCTGTGTGATAAAGCTAGGAGGCAAAAATCAAATGACTGAAGATCAGAAACAAAGATCAGGAAAAAAGATGGCACATGAACTATCTTTGCTTTGATGGTCTCACAGACGGGAGAAAGAAGAAAAATGTTTTAAAAAACCCTGCAATCTCTCCTAATCTTCTGGGATTACACAAACTGCTGGCAAGAATCGAACCTGACAGACCACATCTCATCAAAACCCTTCACCCAGTTAGAAGGAACAGACCAAGCATTTTAATTGCAAGATTTCTCTGATTTAAAGAATAGTTCTATAAAGTTCTGCCAAAGTAGGGAATAACCATTAGATTTGTATATTCAGATAACTGAAGTGCAAAACATACCATTGTTATTGTGGTTAAAATAAGCATTAAATGTAATGAACAACTCACAGACCATTTGTGGGAAGAGAACAACAGTCATTCTTTGTTAAATTATAATTATCACGAGTTAGATATGATCACATGAAGGATTGTATTGAGTCATCCTGGTAGACAGAAACACAAAAGTATAAATAAGGAAGAACTTCAAGGTGAAGATTTCCTTTGAAGATGACAATAGTAACTACACAGGGTATTGCATCTGATATTTTTCACTCAAAGATCTTTTCAACTATCTTCTGCACTCAAAATGGTAATCACATCCTCTCTCTCCCATCTTTGGCAGATCCATCCGAGAAAAGTATTAAAACTGAAAAAAAGACAAAATGTTTGATGGTGGTGGGAGTTGGGGGGGGTGGCTACAACTTAGAAACATCAACTACCTTCAAAAACAGTAGCAAGAAACTTCACCAACAATATATACAGTCACACCACTTTACAGTATAACCTGTGAAGCTTTTTGAGTTGTCACGACCATGTGATAAAGCGCTTTATCAAATGCAAGGATTATTTTTGAAACTCAATGGACACCACTGGTGGTGGGGAGGGGGCTAGATGCAGCTGCCACCTAATGTAATTTAGTTTTTCAAACTAAAGATTGCAAATACTGTTCGATAGTTAGGTACTTTATATTAGCGGATATTGTGAAACGTTTAAAAGGTCGGCCCTATGTTACTATGCCTGTCAATGCTTGAGAACACACAACATCCACAAAATTGAGTGTACCTGATATATTATCCTATGTGAAGGGCACGACATGAATGCCAGTTGTTATTCCAGACGCAGGGGAATTTCCATGTTTAATTAGCATATAAAGCTGGAACTCTCAGTCTGGTTTGATTTCCCTTAAGCATTATGATACGTTTCCACATGTGTCAGTCACCCGACTGAGCAAAAAAATGTGAAAGAGGGTATTTGATGGATGGCCTGATATGCTGCATTCTGCCTCTGAAAAAACAATTATTCGTGCCCTGCCTGCTCTGCGATATCAATATGCAAAAAGAAATCCCCATTGAGATTGATCAGAGCAGATGTGAAGTCAGGCCAAGATGCCAGTGAGGATGCTGCCCAGCAGGTCACTGAGGCAGAGCAGCCTCTGCAAGCCAAGGACCGGTGCTTACAGAACTGAACGAACATGTTTCCACTGCACACAGTAAAGCGCAGTTTTCACAATGGTTGTTTTCAAAGGAACACAGTCTCATTATTTTTCAGGGTGATGAATGTCTATCTTTTCTACTGCAATTTTGAGGTCTGTTCAGAAACTGAATTTAATATTTACTGTGAATTCCCCCTCTCCTTCCACTCCTCCCATCCTGGGTCAGCTTGTGTCACCAGCTCGTACTGTGGACACTTGAAGACATCCTCATGGATTGAGATTTTTTTTTGAGAGGTTGTTACCCCCGGAAAGCGATCCGCTAATCAACTAACACCCAGAACTGATAAAATGAATATAAATATACAGAGATATGTAAAATAACTAGCATAAGACATTTTATTTTATAAATATATGAACTAACTAACAAAAGACGTCAAAAAGCAAAAAAGATTCTGGGGAGCAAAACAAATTAGTGCTAAATCACTGCAAAATACACAACAATAAATGTCGCGAGGACGTCCCAAGGTGCTGGACAGTCAGGTATTTGGACCCGAGCAGGGGGTTGGGATGAGAGGGGTGAAGGGCAGGGAGGTAGGGGTAGGAGGGTAGCTGAATGCACGACTGTAGAGGAGGACCTTTGAGACGTGCTTTAAAGGAGGCAAAGGAGGGAGTAAGATGAAAGGAGTGGAGCAAGTCGAGTGGAAGCGCCAAGTGGTGGATTGGGAAGTGAGGAAGTCAGAGAGGTAGGGAGGTGCCAGGGAGTGAATGGATTTGAACACTGTGGGATGGAGTTCCAAAGGAAACTGACTGCTGATGGTGAGTCAGGCGGGGGATGTGGAGCAGGCCAGAGCATGCCGAGCAGAGGGAACGGCTATGTTGATATGAGGTTAGCAGGTCACGGAGCTAGGAAGGAGCAAAGCTGTGGAGGGCATTGAAGGCGAGGATGAGGATTTTGAACTCTGATATAGGGAGCCAGTGGAGCCAGGTGAGAGTTGGGGGTGAGAAGGTCACGGAGCCTGGTGCGGCAGAGGAGACGAGCTGCAGAGTTCTGGATGATCTGCAGCTTGTGGAGGGAAGAGTTGGGAAGGCCGACAAGCAGGCAGTTGGCAAAGTTGAACCTAGATGTGATGAACTCGTGAATGAGGGTTTTGGTGGCCTGAGGGTAGAGACAGTGGAGGACACGGGTGATTTCCCACTTGTGCCGCATCCCGCTTGTGAGTCCAGAGTTGCTCCGCCCTCAAGTTCCGTTGAGTACACAGCGCGAGACCAGAAACTACAGTTTTAGCAGGTTTGTAATGGAGTGGGTGTTTATAGCGCATTCTGCGGAAAAAGAGTGGCCGCACTTTTCTATTGGCCCAGGTTGTTGGGTATGGTGGAAGGTATAGCTGGGTGGTGTGGCCTCAGGGGGAAGGTGTGGCCTGGGTTGATCCAGGTTTCTGTGAGGGCGAGGATATCAATATTTCCATCAATGATGACGGTTGACAGTGAAGGCTTTGTTGGTAAGGGAGCGGACATTTTGTAGGACAGTTGGCAAAGGAATGTGCGAAATGAGGGGGTGGGGAGGGAGGCTTGACAGAAAGGGTGGGAATGTGGGTGAGGGAGAAGAGGTTTTCTCCCAGGTCTGGAGCCAGGAGGGCTTTCAGTGATAATGGGTGATAATGGGCAATCAGTGTGGCTGCTGCTCTGACAGCCAACGGCGAGTACCATGGTGAGCCTGACGGAGGATTCCCAGGCTGGAGCAGAGGGATCTTTGGGATGGTCAAATGGGGATAGGAGGCCAGGAGGACGGAAGGATAGGAGGACAAAACAGGAGTGATGCAGGGTAGATGACAGGGATGGGGGCATTTGGGGGGAAAGCAGCTCGGATCGAGGGTGGCAGCTAACAACGTATCCGAGACCGGAGGCAGAGCAATTAGCTTGCAGGTATGGAGTCAGCGGGGGCTAGAAGAGACGTCTCAGAGGAGGGAGAGAGGGCAGGACACTTGTTGTATTATTTACCAAGTTACTCACCTGGAAAATAAAACAGAGAATTTCACAGTGAGAAGAGAGAGCAAGGAAGGAGATAATAGTAAAGACTATACCAAACCTAATTCCAGTAATTCAGAAGTGGTGGGTGAAAATTACGTCTCGTGGGGAGTTTTGGCCATTGGTTCAGGCGGGAGATTTTGAAGCTAGAAAGCTGAATTCATTTTGAAAAAGATCTAACACAACCACTAAATCATCAAGTTGAACAAAAACAAGTAATAAAAACGAACCTTTTAATTCAGCACCATATTTATATAGGCCATTGATGAATTGAGGTAGGCAAAACACAATGGATCCCAGTCCGAGCATGAAAGCAGAGAACGTCAGCCACCGTGGCTTGTGTCCTTTTTGTCCATAGAAAGCGACAAAGAGGCATAAAGCACAGAACGAGATGTCATAACTTGAAGATATAATCCCACTGTAGAAGCTGGCCAAGTTGTAGCGTTTCTCAATTGTTGAAAGGTTGATGTTCACCAACCCATTCACTATGATACCTGCAACCCAAAAATGTCATTATTTCTTCAGGTGAAACCAAAGTAGATTTCTTAAGGTGAAACAGTTGTGAATTAAGTGACCAAATATTTTATATATATATATATAATATATACACACACAGTGTAGAATAAAGAACTTACAGGTTTTTTTTAGCATCTCATCACTTCAGAACATCTCAGAACACTTCAGAACACTTTGCTGTTAAATGTTGCGACTGTGCAGGCAAAAAGGCAGTCTCGCAAAAGACTCGCAAACAGCCATGATTTGAATCGCCAATTAATTTGGAGGATTTATGGCACTATTGTGAAACTCCTTTCTCAATAGTGCCATAAAATACATAACCAAATACTGGATCTATGCAACTCCCTTATAATCATCCCAAATGATTCTGTACGTACTGCCTTCTGGGCAGTACTGCACATTCCTCATCTCACATGCATCTACATAAAGAATCAAGCCAAACTAATAATAATGATGCTTGTATTTAATATAGCACCTTATTACGTCATTGAGACGTCTCAAAGCACTTCAGAATATACTGTACAGTGAATTGACTGTATATTTTGTGGGCAAAAATCGACAACCAATTGTGGACTGCAGTGTTCTGTCACGGACACCTTGTGATTTTATTAATGCTCTACCTCATTCTAATGATATTTGCTGTAGATAGTTTGTGTGTACAGAGTTAAAATAAGCCACTTCTCTTTAAACTAAGTTATGTTCCAAGGATCAAAAATACAATTTAAAGAATTACTGCCTTGAAGACAAAGTCTATGACCTGGTTGCAACAAAAAGGCGGGAAAAGGTATTGAGTGATACATTGAAGAGGAGGAGAATGAAATTGGAGGGAAAGTGTATCGAGAGATACATTGAAAAGGGGAGGAATTAAAATTGTATAAAAGGAGGGGCTAATTAGCCTCGGGGACGCTCTTTGCTTTTAGTGTCATCCAGGAAGTACGTGCCTGACCCGAGAGCCTTGTTTCCAGGTCAGGATTGTTTTTTCTTTGTCTACTAACTTTGGGGAAAAGCTGCTAGTGTCATAGTTATAGTGTCAGGGTTTTTCAATTTATTAACGTTGCATTTATTGTATTGTCAGGCAGTGTAAGTAGGGCATAGGGTTTTAAGGACCAATAAAATACTGTTGTGTTTTCTAAAAAGTGCATCTTGAGTCTCTGTTAAGTTATGGAGGGAGGGAGATACACAAGCAGGTTATTGCTGACGTCAGCTGTCTGGTCGTGCAAAGGACACTGATTGAAGCATCCCCTTGTTATGATATCAAGCATTGGGACTACCTGACATTGTGTTAATTCTCATGTAGTGAAGTTTCAGAAAGAGGGAACTTGCACGTCACAGAGAAGAATCTATACAGAGGCCACCTGGTACACTGTGCACTTTACATAACCTGGGTATGAATACATTAAGGGGTGAGCGCCGTCGCAGCCCTACAAACAGTTGCAGATTGAGTGACCAAATTATTATCATTTTTTTGAGTGATTATTACCCCAGAAAGCGATCCGCCAACCGACTAACAACCAGGTTCCTACTTACTGCTAGGTAAACTCAATAAGCAAACCTGAACCCCCATGCCTAATGAAGGCGAACTCCAGAATATCACAGCACACAACCCAGACCTTCACTTTCCTCCATAAATTCCAATTAATTCTTTCTATTAAATTGTTCTCAAGTAGATACTTACCCAGTTCATATATTTTGAAGGAGTTAAATAACACTTCATTGCATTGGCAATTTTTTTGGGGGGATGGGAGTGGGGCGGAGTTGTTTTCATTCCATCATCGTAGTTATTACACAGAGAAGTGATAAATCCTGTAGCATAGTGGTTAGCACGTTCGCCTTGCAAACGAGAGGACCAAGGTTCGATTCTCAGGTGGGGTTTTTAAAATCGATTAGCGGATTGCTTTCCAGTGGTAAAAATCCCTCCCAAAATACTTTGTGAATCACTGCAGTGCACAATTGGCTGCTGCGTTTCACAGAATACCATCATTCCCCTTTATAATATATTCTGTGAAGTGCTTTCAGACGTCTCAATGATGTGATAAGGCACAATTTGAAATGCAATGATTATTATTTATACAACTGGTTTGTTTTCCATGATGATTTAATGCTTAATGAGCTTCCACTCCTACACATCTATTTTACGAGAGACACCAAACAGAAGTAACACCCTTTTCCAGCCTGAGAGTCAGACAGTGTCATTTTCAAAGACCTCTGGAGCATCAAGGGACAGAGGGCTAAGAATAGCCACCTGCATGGCTCCCTTCCAATAGGGCATTGGAGTGTGACAGTGGAGAGCGTATAGCAGAAAAAGGAGGAAACCTCAATAAAAAGTAGGGAAGAAAATAAAACCAAATTACCTTGAACAATAGCCAACAAACTGTAAAAAAGTAAATATCCCTTTGGTGTGTTGCAGTATTTAAGACAGTCTGGTGTGAAAGTTCCCCAGCCACATGATCCTTCCTCCAAGTTTTGACTTTCATCTTCTTTAATGCTAATCCTTTGCACAGGAGATGTGCTGGTTTGCCTTACATTCGGAATTTCTTCATTGCATACTGGGTTATCCGTTCCTTTGTCCATCGTTCGTAGTTGAAGTTTAAACATTGACCAATGTTGGCTGGGAATCAGTTCAATTTGAGACAGCAGGTAAACAGAAAAGCTCTCTCGTGTAACCAAGACTCAACTTAAAAGGATCTGATTCCTGTTACAGAAAGTTACCTGGTCTATCGACTGACAACAGTCGACAATTAGGGGAAGTTGATGTTAAACCAACTGTTTCCACCTGAAAGGAGCTGTTGGCCTGCACAGAGCCACCTCTCAAGCTGCACTGCTGTAGGAGGAACCTGGACAACGTTGCACTTGTTGGAACCGGAGGCGTGGCTCTGTGAGCCCGGGGAGGCAGTTATCACAACCAATAGCAGCGACGGTGGCTCAGTGCAAGGAGCGGCCCATTCAAATAACCAAAAGGCTCAGCAATCAACACCCCCCTATACATTGACACAACCTACACACCCACAACACTCTCTACACACACAAGATTCCCACGCACCAAGACCTCCCCGCCCACCGAGACCCCCCCCACCCACCGAGACCCGCCCCCCAAGACCCCCCCATCCACTGAGATCCCCTATGCATCGACACCCCCTACGCACAACAAACAACCCCTACACATCAGCGCAACCTAACATCAACACCTTCTACACACAACAACTCCTACACACAACACAACCTACACACACAACACAACCTACACACATAATACCACCTATACACACAACGTCCCCCCCACGTACACACATCAACACAACCTACACACGACACACACCTACAAGCTTCTCCAGTTCTGCCAGCTTTCCAGTACTGCTAGCATCAGGAATTGTGGTGAGTTCAATTTCTTTTATATGTGTCCCCAGATTTGGTTTACAAAATGTGGTCACCCTACCTTACACACATCAACAGCCCCAACATACAGATAAACACCGCCATACACACACATCAACATCCTTCCCATACATATATCAATATCCCCCACACACACCAACACACCACCACTCTCCATCAACCTCACACCCACATATATAGACCTGACACCAACACCCCACACACAGCCTCATCTACCTATACCACAACTTTCCCATCAACCTCACCCCCATACACATCACAACCTCGCACAACTTCACCCCTTCACCAACACACCCTCCCAACACATATTAACAATCCACCACCACCCATAACAACCTCCCCACAGACACCACAACCCCCAATATCCCCACATGCACCCGGCACAATCTCCCTCCCAAAACGATTCCCGCCCCCCCACTCCTCCATTACAACCCACCACGTACAAATAAAAGTGGAGGGGTGAAATCATGAGAAAAGGAACTGAAGGAAAAATCATAAATATATTAGTTGAAAAAGGAGACTGGAGCAGAAAATAATTGATGGATGAACAATCATTTTAAAATAAAAGGAAGTGAAATCAGAAACTCTTAGTGACAAAGTAACAAGTAAGAATTAAAAACATTCCTCCATTAATGAAACATATCCGCTTTACTTACTAACAATAGAACACAGGAGAGAAAGAGACCTAAGGAAAAAAGCACAACATGAAGTCAACAACAAAAAGGAACATGAAATAATGAAATTAAAAATATATAAGAACAACAACTTGGATTTATATAGCGCCCTCCATGCCGGACTGCGTCTCAGAGTGCTTAACGTGTCTGATAAGTCCAAGTAGGATTACTGAGTGTCCCTGCCTATGGACGGTGATATCCATTGTGCAATATTGCCATTGTGTGCATCAAGCCCCAATTTAAAGCAGTGCAGGGGGTATGCTACATTGTCAGAGGTGCCATCTTTTGGATGAGACTGCCTGTCCAAATGGATGTTAGAGATCACATAGCACTGATCGAAAAGAAAGGGAAGTTTCTCCTGGTATCCTGGCCAGCAATCCACCAGGTAAAATTGGCCACTCAGGTGTTTCATAAAATCATAGAATTGTACAGCACAGAAGGAGGCCATTCGGCCCATCGTGTCTGTGCCGGCTCTTTGAAAAGAGCTATCCAATTCAATCCCACTCTCCTGTTCTCTCCCCATAACCCTGCAAACGTGTCCTCCCCAAATAATTACCTGCTTCTATCTTAAAAGTTATTATTGAATCGGCTTCCACCACCCTCTCAGTCAAAGCATTCCAATTCCGAACAACTCGCTGCGTGAAAAAATTTCTCCTCACCTCCTCTCTGTTTCTTTTAACGACTATTTTAAATCAGTGTCCTCAGGTTACCGACCCACCCGCCAGTGGAAATATTTTCTCCTTGTTCACTCTATCGAATCCCCTCATAATTTTCAAAATTTCTCTTAAGTCTCCTCTTAACCTTCTCTGCTCCAAGGAGAATAATCCTAGTTTCTCTAGCCTCTCCTGATAACTGAAATCCCTCATTCCTGGTACCATCCTGGTAAATCTCCTTTGACCCTCTCCAATGCCTTGATATCCTTCCTAAAGTGTGGTGCCCAGAACTGAACACAGTACTCCAGCTGAGGCCTAACCAGTGTTTTAAAAAGGGTTATCATAACTTCCTGACTTTTGTATTCTATGCCCCTCTTTATAAAGCTTTATCTACCTGTCCTGCCACCTTCACAGATTTACTTATCTGAACCCCCAGGTCTCTCTGTTCTTTCTCCCCCTTTAAGATTGTACCATCAGCTTATATTGCCTCTCCTCATTCTTCCTCCAAACATGCATCACTTTGCATTTCTCCACATTAAACTTCATCTGCCATGTGTCTGCCCATTTTACCAGCCAATTGTGCACAGCAGTGTCCCACAAACAGTCACAGATTGAGTGATCAAATTTTTTTTAAGGGTTTATTACCTCGGAAAAGCAATCCGCCAATCAACTAATAATGGGTTCCTACTTTCTGCTAGGTAAACAGAGGTGTGTGGAGCAAGGAAACATGCCCAACATTTCGCCCTGCCCAGGAATCAAACCCAGGTCCTTTTACTTGTGAGGCGAGTGTTCTAACCACTAAGCTGCAGAACTACAAATGATTCAGACAGGACCTGATCGAGCTATTTATGGTTATGAAAGAATGCAATAAAGTGATCATTGATAGTTTGTTTCCACTTGTTGGTGAGTCCAAAACAGAGAGTATAAATATAGAAAAACGAGTAAATTGAGTAGTAGTTAATAGTACTAGTATTAAGTAGTTTAGGAGGAAGTTCAGGCAGAAGTTGGTGGTAATTTGGAACTCATTGCCGGAATCTGGTTGAAGCAAAAATGTTGTTACACATATGAGGGAGAGGGAAATAGAGGGGAATGCGATGGCTGGAGGTTCATGTGGAGTATAAACACTGACATGGCCAAATGGTCTATTTCCATGTCGTATCACTTTATATAACTTTAGGTAGCCCTAGCCTTTCTAATCGCTGCTCACAGCTCATTCTGCTAACACTGGGATCAAACTCATTACTCTCCTTTGCATAGCCTCTTGAGCCTGTGCAGCCCTTTGTGTCATGGCAACTAGAAACTATATGGGTAATACAATGTATAGACATGTGGAGCACCTACAAAAGGCAGTTCCTGTTGCTGTAGGTAGTAAGAAGAGGGGTAGAGGAAATACCAAGAGTGAACGGTGTTAACCTGAAAGACAGGATGAAGGAACAAAGGAAAGAACAGTGGAAATCATTGGACACTCAAATTGTTTTAAGGTTCACACCAGATTTTATCACAAAATATTAAACTTGGTGAAATAATTTTGTTTTCCTTCGCAACAAGTTCCAACAATATTTCTGTGCTGTGGTTTTGTTTCAGCAAGAGAGGTGTGGCACATAGTATTTTATTGGAGATATCAGCAGTAATGAGGAGTTCCATAAATGTACTTTTAAATCTTTTTCTCCTCCTTTTGAAGCTTGTAGCTCATGTTGCATTTATAATGCACATTTGGTGAAGAATTGCTGTAGGTTGGGCAGTGACTCACATTTAGATGATGTGCTTACTAATGTGTTATACTGTATAAATCAGGGCTGAGCTAATGCACTTCACATAAGAAGGAAGCGGTTTCAGACTAAGTGTGATTTGCCACTTTTGCAGTGCAAGTCACTCTGGGCTCTCTAGCGATCCATTAAAATCTCCTTCCATTAAAAACCTTCCTAAAAGTCAATCACATAACCAAATATTTAACATAAAAAATTCAAACATGCACAGAACTTTAAAATCAGCAGTTTGTATTTTGACAGCCCTGTTTTGATGCGATGTGATACGGAGTGAGCTGCAGAAATCCAGTCTCCTGTTTCCTAAGCCAGAATGCTGGGAGCAGAGCGGCTTCACCAGATAGCAACAAATTAAGATATAATCGAGACAATTTGTCACTAAGATAATTACAAACCTTCTGTGAGATAGCGAATTGGGAGTGATGCCTTTTATGGGACCAAGGCTTTCATGATTACAATGCTCCTGTGTCAAGTCAAGCCCAGCAAGGCAAGGTATTATTGCGGTTCGAGTAGCATCACATTGACATCTCAAAGTGTTCCACGCAGCTGAATGGAAGCCGAGCTGCAAGAGGTTGAAGAAAGGAAAGGTACAGAAAGTATGGTTGAAAAGATAAGTCTTAAAGCAGGCTTTGTAGGTGGGGAGAGAGCTGAGGTGAACAACAACAACTTGGATTTATATAGCGCCCTCCACACCGGACAGCATCTCAGAGCGCTTACAGTAACGGATCCCGGGGCCGAGCCAGGGGGAGGGGGAGGAAGGTGACCAAAGGCGCGGTCGAAAAGAAAGGTCTTCAGCAGAGACCTGAAAATGGGAAGGGAGGGAGTGAGACGAAGGGAGTGAGGAAGGGAGTTCCAGAGCCTCGGGGCATAGTGGCTAAACGCACGGCCGCCGAGGGTGAAGTGGAGGACTCAGGGGACGAGGAGGAGGCCAGAGCCAGAGGAATGAGGGCAATGGGTTCTATTTTGAGGAGAGAGGTCAGAGAGGTAGGGGGGTGCAGAGAAGTGCAGGGACTTGAATACAAGGGTGAGGATCTTGAAATCGATCCTCTCTGGGATAGGCAGCCAGTGCAGTCTGGCAAGGACTGGGGTGATCGGGGAGCGGAGTTTCATGCGGGTGAGAATGCGGGCGGCAGAGTTTTGAATGATTTGG